TGCCGTAATAATTTTGTTTTTATTGTGTGAAATCCAATTCAAGATCGTTTAATTCGGCAACACAGTTTGTGGTTGTCATTAATATTGATGAGAATCAAGGAAGGCCCATTGAAGACAAAGACTTGAAGGCATTGGAAGAGCTTCAAGGACCAATGACAAGGGCATGGGCAAAAAGAATAAATGAAGACTTAGAAAAGATTGTTGCTGTCTTATTTGAAAGGGAGCTCAATTTATAGTTAGAAAAGCCCAAGATAATCAATTACATATGCTTAGAGGATTTGAACTCTAACGAGTTTTATTAGGATTTAATTATTATGTTTAGTTTATTTATTTTAGTATTAGTCATTACTTATTTTGAGTTTTTATTTAGGATAAAATCTTGTTATTTTATTTAGTCTATTTGAATTTAGGCTTGTTGGTACAAGAAGCCCATTAGGGTTTGCGTTAGTATTAGTTTACAAGCATTAGGCATATATAAGCTCTTGTAAACACACTTTTAATTAGTTTTGAATATAATTTGAGATTGAACACTCTTGTGAGAGCGTGTGACTCTAGGTTCTTGAGTGAGCCAATTTTCTTTGATCTTATCAAGAGGCCAAAACTCTTGTGGCGATCGTTCCTTTGCTTATCAATCTTGCGATTGTGGCGCCATTTTCTATCTCTATTCTATTCTTACTTCTTATTAATTTTCTTCTTATTTCAATTCTTATTTGTGCCGTAATAATTTTGTTTTTATTGTGTGAAATCCAATTCAAGATCGTTTAATTCGGCAACACAGTTTGTGGTTGTCATCAGATCATTTGGCCCTATTATCTAGAATTGCATCAAATGGATGTGAAAATAACTTTTCTGAACGAGGATCTTTTTGAGGAGGTTTATGTGGAGCAACCTGAAGGTTTTGCAGAAAGTGGAAAAGAGCATTTGGTATGTAAATTAAAGAAATCAATTTATGATTTGAAACAAGTGTCTAGGCAGTGGTATCTTAAATTTGATGATATCATCATATCCATGAGCTTTGTGGAAAACAAGGTAGATCAATGCATATATCTCAAGCTCAGAGAGAGTAAGTTTATTATTCTTGTTCTCTGTGTAAATGACATTTTACTTGCTAGCAATTATTATGATCTACTTGTTGAGACAAAGAGCATATTATCAGTGTCTTTTGACATGAAGAACCTTAGGGAGGCTTCTTTTGTTTTGGGGATAGAGATCCATAGAGACAGGTTTTGTAAACTTTTGAGTTTATCTCGAAATGCTTACATTGATCGTATTTTGAAGAGATTCAATATGGAGCATTGTAAACCTAATGATGTCCCCATTGCTAAAGGGGATAAGTTATATAAGGACCAATGTCCCAAGTATGATATTGAAAAGCGCTCCATAAAGAATGTTCCTTATGCTAGTGCAATTGGTAGTTGATGTATGCTCAGGTGTGTACTAGACCTGATTTATCTTTTGTTGTTAGTGTTTTGGTAGGCTCTTATCAAATGCAAGACATACTCATTGGGTTATTGCTAAAAAGGTTATGAGGTACTTGCAAAAGACAAAGAAATACATGCTTGTTTATAGAAGAGTTGATAACATGGAAGTTACTGGCTACTCTGACTCAGATTTTGCTGGTTGTCCAAATGATGAGAAATCCACTTCTGGATATGTTTTTAGGCTGGCTGAAGGAGCTGTATCTTGAAAAAGTGTAAAACAGACTTTGATTGCTTCTCCTACTATGCAGGCTGAGTTAGTTGCTTGTTATGGAGCTGCATCTCATGCTATGTGGTTAAAAAACTTTGCTTTTGCTCTTGGAATTGTGGACTCCATTTCTAAGCCATTGAAGATTTTTTGTGACAACAGTTCTGCTGTTTTCTTTACCAAGAACAACAAAACTACTACAGCTTCTAAGCATATTAGGATTAAATTCCTGGTTGTTAAAGAGATGGTGGAGAATAGAGAGATTCTTGTTGAGCATATTTTCACTGAGAGAATGCTTGCTGACCCCCTAACTAAAGGACTTGTGGTATTTATGAAACATGTTGAGAATATGAGGATTGTAGGGTCTTTTAATGTATTTTGTTAGTGGGAGTTGTTATCTTTATTTTATATTTTATTTTATTTTATTGCATTGAACTTGTGTCATTTGTTTTGGTGATGTTCGTGTTGACATTCCATATCATTAATACAATAATGCAATTTTGTACTTTGTCTCGAAATGTTGTATTTCTTTTCAGGGAATGATGTTTCATGATAAACATGTTAATGATCTCTGTGGGAGGTTGGTTGTGTTCTCTTGGGAGGACACAATGTAGGATCAATGCACAGTAGTATATTATGCTATCTGATGTGTATCTACACTTACACACTTATGTTATGATCATACTAACAAAGTTGTTAGTTATGTGGTCATTGGTGAACTAAACTCTGAATAGTTTATTTTTGCTTATGGCTCTTAGCTAATAATTTTGTTAGTAGTATTGGCTATCTTTTGTGGTGATTATATTCAGCTTGTTTTGTGGGCACAATTGTTCAACTCGAGAGTCATTTTTGAAATGAATTTAAAAATTCGTAAAACCCAATCAATATTGTTCAAGTGAGAGAATGTTATAATTTTCTTTTTATTTGGACTACTATTGATTGGTGTAATTTTAATTTATTGAAATGGGTTGAATTTATGACCTGATATGTTATTCTATGATCCTATTTTGGGTTTTGGAAATCACCATGTGTACATACAATTACTGGGCTGAGTTCAGTATGTGAGTGTGCTGAGTAGTATGTGTAGGGCCTAATAGGCCTAATATCTATGATGGATGAAAATTAGGTAACCTGTGTTTTTTTTTAAAAAGGAGGCAGGATCCCCACTTGACTTTTGAGAAAATATATGCTCTCTGACGGCTCACGATTCCATCAAGGGGTCAGTCTGTGAAAGAAGGAGAGATCAAGTGGAAGAGCCTGTTCTTGACGTATACACGTGTATATATTTTGTGATACCAAGAGAGAGTTATAAAATATGTCTTCAAGAGGTACACAATTTACCTTTTACATAAATAATATTTGGGTGTTCTAAAATTTGATATTGATCCAAAATAATTTTACAAAATATTGCTCATTAGGATCCTTACCTACTGTCACCAATAAAATTCCACCAAATAGAGGTTTTAACAAATACCCATCCAGGCCAATGATAGGCCTACAAGCAAATAAAAATCAATTTTCACTCCATCTAAACACATGTACATCCTATGGAAAATAGGATTTTTAGCCCTAATAGTGTTTTAGTCATACGAACATACATACTTGACCCTAAGTTAGTTCTTTTGATTTTTGTACAATAATCTCACAATTTATTGTATTATTGGACATGACTACCTAGTTAATATCTTCTTTTTCTACCTTCTTTCTAAATAAGCTTTAGTTATAGAAACTTTAGTATAATAGTCTTCCTTCATTTGCTTGATTACCCTTGCCAAAAGACACTTGTTTGTTATTATGGGCTTAACTAATTTTTCTATAACTCACTTTAAATTTTTCATATTTTCCTTGTGTGTTTCGGCACAAATATGCTTATTATTCAAATATGTTAATGGACCTTCAACTTTGGTCACAATTTTTTTTTTTAATCCTTATCCATTTATCAATAAATTTTTTTCTAATTAGATCCTTAAATTGCCCATGTCATGCTTAAATTTGAATTTCTTACACATTTTAAAAAGATTATACTACTAATAGTAATTTTCCTTATATGCACAAACTTTATCATCACTTCCATCATTCTAACTATATAGATCATCATTACGGTACTTCCAATCAATCAAAATTACTATTTTTTACTATCATTTGATATTTCATCTGATATATACACTGTTGAGTACTATAACTATAGTTGTCATCATATTCAAATTTTTACTATCACTAAAATTAATACACTACATACTATCTCTATCAAAATGCTCTTTACTTGCAATTACTTTCTTCCCTTTAACATCATCATTACATTCTATTTTTCTCACTACATCTTCCTTCTCTGTAGCATGGCATTTTTCTTCCCTTGGTACATCTTCATATTCCTCTTTGTTAGAAGTTAGTAGAAAACCATGAACCTTGTTCTTTGCATGCACAGTATAAACTTCCACCTTTTGGACAAAAATACTTATAGTAGTTTTAACATTTTTCATAGCTCATTCGTCATCATATACCTTTACTAACTCTTCTTCAAGATGAATTACAAGCTTGCAATAGAAGATTTGTGCAATGCCTGTGTACCCTACAACATAAGTTAACCAATTCTCACCTGATTTTGTTAGTGTTTTCAAAAGACGCCTTCCATAATATAAATAGATAGTAAAACACCAAAAATTACAACCTTATTATTAAAGACATCAGCATAACAAATGTTAATACAATATATTATCATTTAATATAAATAAAAAGAGTATTCAAATAATTGAATGTATATTTTTTGATGTTGTTGACTATAAAAAATGTACCACATATTATAACAGGGTTAAAGTTTTTTATAAGAGTAAGTAAAAGATGTCACTCCATTATTGTTATTCTTTGCCACAATTTTTGTTCTTGATTTCAATATGCTTGGTAACATTTTCAAGAATAATTATTGAACAATTGTATATTATTTTTTAGGAGAGAAATTTAGGAACAAAAGGAGGTAACCAATCTAAATTGAAAAAAAAAACTATTATATCTTATCATAAATGATGAAATTGAAAATGAATTTTTTATATAAAACTTATATATAAATATTTTATTTATAAAAACTAAATTTTAAAAAAAAATCTCACATGGAGACTTAAAAAATCGTTTAAACCAAAAAAACTGAAGGAAGGAAAGCAGCAAAAATAGGTTGCAAAAAGCAACCCTCCATGTGCAATACAAGTCAAAACCCAGAGGATGGAATAAATAAGAAAAGGTCCATTTAAGATCCAAAACTACCTTCGGATGGCCTAGAACATGGGATCATTTCTCCATATCTCTGTCTCTCTCAAGACCCTATATAAATTTTCTCTCTTTAACTGTGGGCGTTGAATTTTGACTTGATGGCTGAAGAACAAGAATCATCACCGTCTCATTCACCTTCGCCGCCGCGGCAAAACTCTCCACCGCCTGTACTCTCTAACTCTTGTTCTCTCTTTCATTCTGTTAATGGGATAAGTGATTGAATTTTGTTGTGGTTGGCCAAAAGGAACAGCCTTATGTGGAGGTGAATTGCAGAAGCTCCGGCAAGATTCGGCGGTTCGCGGTCGGGACTGATGCGGGGTTTGCGGTAGCGCTCATCAATCGGAAGCTAAAAGGAGCAGTGGCAGTTGCGTCACACATAGAAGCAGTGAAGGATGGCGAAGAACCAATTGCTTTCGGTCCCACTTCGCTTCTTTCTAATTTCGGTGCAGGTTGGAACCTCCAAACGGTTACCCTCACCGATCTTCTTTCTTCAGGCAAGTGATACCATGAAAGCTACGTCGATATTTCAATATTCATTATTTTATTTCCTTTTTAAGGTACCGTTTTTAATTGTTATATATTAATAAATGTAGATGTTGATTTCTTGATAAAAGTAAATATTACATTCTTTTGTTGCTTTGTTCATGTTTGAAAAAGATTTTCTCTGATAAAGTAAATGTTTGTATATTTAAACTCGAGACTGAAAAATAACATGGTTATTTCTTTATGTTAGTTCACTTGCTAACTACTATTACTAATTAGTTGGCTCTTTCTTAAATCAATTTGTATACTGGAATCTTGATGAAATTATATATTTCCTTTTTCTCTTTTGATGTAAATGTTGTAGAGTTTTTTAAATAAAAAATAGCATAATTTAAAAAAAAAAAAAAAGTTTAAAGGTTCTCGTATGAGATTTTCAACTGGTTTGAAGAATGTTGTAAGCGACTTATGATATCATTATGTTATTTTTATTTCTATGAATGTGTACGGTAAAAAGAATTATATTATTATTTAAAAATTCTCTGCTACTGATTGCAGAAGAAGTGAGAAATGGACGTGTTCAACAGATGGCAATGCAGGCACCAGGACTAGTAAGATTCTTTTCAAACAAAAGGACTAAGAACTTTGTAATCTTTTGTCCACTCTTTCATAAGTGCATTTTCTATAGCTAACTTTTGAATTTATAATTAACCAATTATATATTATTTCAACTGGGTATTAGAAAACTATAGTTGATAGAATTTTGAGAAACTGAAGCTAGTGTTTAAGAGACTGAAAGTGTATTTCTGTAATGATATGCAACTGTTATAATAGCAAAGCCTAAGAAGTAAGAACAAATGCAATTGTTCTAACTAACACTAACAGACTAATAGCAACTAACAAGCAGTTGCCAGCTGGGACTGACTCATACAGACGAGTGTATCGGTATGAACTTGGTTAGAACATCTGCAAGCTGAAAGTGAGCTTGAATATGAACATAGCAGATTTGTTTAAATCTTTCTCACGAACAATTAAAAGGTCCAATTCCATGTGGTTTGTGCAAGCATGAATTACAGGGTTGTGAGAAAAGGCAACTGTGCTTAGGTTATCACTTATCAGAGTGTTGAAGTGGTGTGGTAGTAGGAACTTGAAGCTTCACAAAGTAGTGTTTAAAACTTCGAATCCATAAGATTTCGGAGGTAGCTGATGCAAGGCTAAGATACTCAGCTTCAGCAGAGGTGGTCACAACTGTTTGCTTTTTGTACCACTTAGGAGACTAGATTAGGCCCAAGAAAAATGTACACACCAGAGATGGACCTGCAATCATCACTTTACCATTATTTTGAAATTACAAAATACTTTAAAGTGCTATTTTTATTCTAGTATAGTCATTTACTATGACAAGCATGGTAGTCAAAATTGAGATCTACATAGGATCAGGAAGGGAGTCAAAGATCACATAATCATGAGATCGTTACGTGTATTATAAGATCCTACAAAATTGTATATATATATATATATATGATCCACAATTATACAATCTTAATTCCCTCCTGATCTTACATTGGACCTCGAGTACGCTTGATAAAACTTGACTAAAAAATGCTACTGGCCTTCCACCTTGTGATAAAACTGCTCTTAAACCCTTATTTGAGGCATCAGTTTCGAGTCTGAAGGGTTTAGAAAAATCATGTACAACCAAGACTGGTGAAATTGTCATGGCAGACCTCAAAGCTTCAAAAGCATGTTGTGCTTCATGAGACCATTCAATTTTCTCCTTTGATGATATACTCCTTAGCTATTTTAATCTTCAAAATGAAATCTTTCAATTTGGCCTTGAGTTTCATAAATCCTCCAACCATTCTAACCCCAATGCCAAATCCACTCCATCCAGAGGAAACAAATAGAAATATTGTATTTGCAGCTCTTTTATCACCAAATTCACTTTTTTACACACGTCATATCTCTTTAATGTGTAGCCATCACCCACTTTCCCTGAGTATTGGGGGATATCCTAAATGTCCAACCCAACTCCTCTACTACCTGCCGTGAAATGAAGTTATTAGAGGCTCCTCCACTGTTAATTAAAATAGTGCCTTCTCTGCTGTTGAGATTGCCCCACAATTTCAATGACCTTTTGGAGGTTAACCCTGCCTTAGACTAATTGTGCTGGTTTTTCTACCCACTCGTTTAATTGCTTTATTAACTCCGGCATTTCTGTGTTATGCATTATTTTTTAAATCATTCAGAATCATCACTCGGTATGTATTATTACACATGCTTTCAAGTGAACTTTTCATCATAAGTGAAGCATAACCCTTCTCTCGCTGTATTTTACATTGGGAGCAACTTCCAAACCCTACTTGTGCAGCTTTACCCTCCACTCCACGTTAGCATGTAGCTTGAAAGAGATGAATAGGGCCATGACAGAATAAGTTGATCTAAAGTGAAGGCGTCAATGATATTACCACTGTAGCATTCCTCTTCATTCAAGATTTAACAACAAAATTGAGTAATTGCTGGCCTTTGATTATTGCTTGGATTTCTGTTGCCAATGAAAGAAGTTATGATCATCGAGGTTTTTGAAGATTGCCATAGTTGGTTGGAGCTGAGCAAGATGGATTCACTAGTGGTGGAGGAGGTGTTGGGAAATTATTAGATGTCTAAAGAACCAGCTCTAGATACCATATTTGAAAACAATAGTTAAGAAAATTTTGAGAAACTGAAACTGAGTGTAAGAGATTGAATATGTATTTTCCTTAATGATAAGCCAGTAGTGGTTCATCTGCACTCTTACTATTAAGAAACTTGGGTCTAACTCACTCTCAAAAGCTAGCTCATAAGAGGAGGGTTGTCCGGCTCTTATAAGGAGTATTCTGTCTCAATTTTTAACCAATGTGTGATATCTTAACACACCTTCTTTACGCCCATGACTGGACATCTGGTGGGTGAAACTTGCAGGACTGGACATCTACATGGGTGGACCCAGGACTGGACATCTATGGGCAGCCCAACGTTCAAACTAAATAGGCTCTGATACCATGTTAAGAAACTTGGGCCTAACTCACTCCTAAAAGTTATCTCATAGGAGGAAGGTTGCCCTAACCCTTATAAGGAGTATTCTAGCTCTATTCCTAACCAAATTTCACGCACCAGATGTCCAATCCTAGGCATGAAGGGGGGTGTTAAGATGTTATGAATAAAGCTAGAATACTCCTTATAAAGGCTAGGGCGGCCCTTCTCCTATGAGCTAGCTTTTACGAGTGAGTGAGGCTCAAATTTTTTAACATGGTATCAGAGCTTATTCAGTTTGAACATTGGGTTGCCTATAAATGTCCAGTTCTGTTGGGTCCACCCATGCAGAAGTCCAGTCCTGCAAATTTCACATACTAGATGTCCAGTTCTAGGCGTGAGGGGGTTGTGTTAAGATGTCTCACATTGGTTAGGAATAGAGCTAAAATACTTCTTATAAAGGATAGGGTAGCCCTCCTCCTATGAGTTAACTTTTGGGAGTGAATTAGGCTCAAGTTTCTTAACACTTACAATAGCACAGCTTGAGAACTAATGCAACTGTTCTAAGTTACACTAATAGCAATTGACAATTCGTTGCCAGCTGGGGCCCATAGAGACCAGCATACAATAATAGGGAGGAACACTTTACTACTACTGGATTAAATCTACTAAAATATTTACATGATTCACATTTTTTTTTTAAGTAAATTTTTTTTACCTTTTTCAGGACTGAGCTTATTTTCAGTTTGTTCACTTTCTTCAGGTTTCAGGTGTCCCAGGACCTACAAGGAGGGTGTCCAAACCAGTCAGCTTTGTGTATATAGTTAAAATAGTGTTTGCTTTTATTTTGATTTTTGTACTTGGTGCAATTTTTACTTTGTTTCTCGATAATCTTCCTGCATTCATATTGTTTGTGAAGTCAATAATCTAGTGCTTGTTTTTTATTGCTTGAAATGTACTATATACACATTAAATAAATTATTCTTTTTGGTGTCTCAAGTGGTGAAATTGTTTAAGGCCCAACTCCTTAGATTTTTCTTGTGGGTTTGTGATCAGAGATTAAGTGTAAGGTGAGGACTCATGATCTGACGTAGATTATTAGGGTAATGAGTTTAGCAAGGGCGGTGGAAGACTCCAAGTTGCAAGACGAGTCACCGGTTTCCAAGGTTGTAACTCTTTTTCAAACTATTTATACAATGATGGAGAAGGAATTGTGTCACAAGTGGGTACCCCGGTAGGGGATTTTCCAAACTCACTACCTGAGCAACCATCATTGGGGTCGAACAAAGGTACAACTGGAGATGAGGAAGAGGTTCTACATGGGGGTAATAGGTTGTCACCTTTGATTTCCTCAGTTAAATTGACTTCAGGCACAAGGCAACTACAATATGTCAAACGAAAGGAAGAGCGGAGGTGTTTCCATTGTGGTTTGGTGTATGGACCTTCACATACGTGTCCAAAAGAGAGTATGAAAGTAACCATTCTAGCCGACGACAAACTATTGTATGAAGAAGACATTGTGAATATGGAAACTGAAGAAAGGGAAGAAGATGGTGGGGATTTTTCTTGTCAAATGCAGATTTATCTCTTTTCTTAGCTGGAGGGATGACACAACCTAAAATGATGAAGCTGCATGGATATGTAATGGGTTTCCTGTCCTCATATTGATAGAGAGCAAGGCCGGCAACAATTTTATTGCACAAGAAGTGGTGCAATAGATGGGTTTGCAAGTAACTCCTACTCCTCTCCTTTTGGTGTGAGGCTAGGAGATGGATATTGTCAGAAATCATAGGGGTGTTGTATGGGTCTCAAGGTTCGCATGGTTGAGTCAGAATTTGTAAATAATGTTTACCTATTTGGGTTAGGAGGAGTGGATGTGAATTTAGGAGTTGCTTGATTGGAAACTTTGGGGGATGTGAAAGAAAATTGGAGAACTTTGTCCATGCAATTCAACAACGAAGGTCTTGCTGTTACAATACATGGAGACCCAAGGCTAACCAAGACTTGGTATCATTGAAGAAGAAAGGTTACAGAAGTTGAATTTACATCAGTACTATTAATTTTCTTAGGAGACATGATTTATGCCCCATATCAAACAAGTAATCTATCGACCTCCCAAATAACCCAATTACAACAGTTGTTAGAGAAGAACAATGTAATTTTTTCAGTTCCAACAGCCCTTCTTCTACTTTTTGAAACTGAGCATAAAATACCTCTCAGAGCAGGTATTGATCTAGTGAACGGTCGTCCATATTGATATCCGATGGGAACTTCTGGATGTTGACACCTAAATTTTCTTTAAAATTATAACTAGAATTTTCACTATTATTTCAATTATGTATTTTTTTAATATATATCAGCTAAAGTTTAGAAGTTCTCATTTACACTAGTTTTCGATGGAATCAACACTATTTATTGATTTACTTAATCTAAACTTAGCATTTTAATTTCTTATTAAGCAACTTAGTGACTACCATTTTTTCATAGAATTTTTATCTATTTACATGAAAATACAATAGATTAATAGTCATTCGATAAAAAATTATATAAGAATTATATTTTTAATATTCTATTTCATTTATATATATATATAGTATGATCTTTTTATACTAGTATAAATTTAAAAAATTTTACACTTAATTTGAACTTTTTTTTTTAACTTATATGTAATGAGTTATAATTTATTATTTCATTAATCATTAGATATAAGTTAAATAAAAGTTTAGATCAAGTTTAAGAATTTTTAAACTTATATTAGTGTGAGAAGATTCTTTCATATATATATATATATATATATATATCTTGTCACTATCACTAGGATTAGTAACGAATAATAATAATAAGTAGGTATTAATTTTTAATTCTATTTAATTATAAAATAACATTTGAAATATTCTTAAAATAAATGGTAAATTTGCTCTCCGGCTTTGTACACATTGTTTGTCACACTATAGGAGGTGACCATGCCTGAAATTACTTTAATTACAAGGTGGAAATGTTAAAGGTGTGATTAGTGATTATAGTGAAGTTGTAACAAAGTAGCTATATTTGAAGATGCAGGATCACCTTCTTTTCAAAGAGTGTTAATGCTTGTTGAGTAGTTTGGTTTGACATTGCTTCATACTAACAAAAAAAAGATAAAAGTCATAAGCTTATTATCTTAAGTCAGAACAAATTGATAAGTGCTCTTTTTATTTTGCACTGTCGTGTCACTCCACCACCCCCTTATGCAAAAGAATGAAATTGAGTAGTGGAGGAAATATTGTCTACAGGTATTATCTGAACAAGCACAAGTCATGAACAAGGTTTTGAATAGATTATTGAGCTTTAAATAAGGTACCATATTAGATAAGTACTCTAATTCCTTTTAGTGTGGAGTTGCTAGATGAATTGTATGGAGCAACGTACTTTTCTAAAATAGATCTTGATTTAAGGTATCATCACATATGCAGGAGGAACATATCTCAAAAACAACTTTTCAAACTCACGAAGGTCATTTTAATTTCTTGTAATTTCCTTTTGTTTCACAAATGCCCTTGTTACATTACAATCAACCATGAATTCTACTTTAAATCATTCTATAAAGTTTTGTTGTTTTCTTAAATGATATCTTGGTTTATGAACATGGGTAGATCATTTGTGTCTCATTTAGAGCAAGTGTTGGAGACATTGAATTTGGTGAGACAAGTTGCTTATTTGGGCCACATTATTTCTAAAGAAGGGGTTGCAATGAATATAAGGAAGATTGAGGTAGTGTTATAGTGGCCACATTACGAGAATTTTATGTCTCAAGATAATATCGCCATTTTATTAAAACTATGGAAAAGTGTCAAGCCCTTTTACTGATTTATTATAAAAAAAAAGGGGGAGTTTTCATTGGAATCCAGATGTTGAACAAGCCTACAAGCAACTTAGGAACCTCATAACTTCCACTCTCGTTTTACCAATGAATTAGATGCTTTTGGAAGAGGATTGGTGGTTGTTCTGTCACAGCAGAGAGTCATACCCCACTACAGTAAGGAATTATTTGACTCCTCTATTTTCCAGGTCTGTTTATGAGAATGAACCATGGCACCCTTACCGTTAGGTAGGAAATTTAGTATTGATGGATCAGAAGAGTCTTCGCCACTTATTGGAACAACGTATCACTGCCCAAAATCAATAGAACTGGCTGGCAAAACTGCTAGGGTATGAATCTTTCTGCAGATGCTCTTTCCCTGCTGGAAGAAAATATAGTTACAAGCAATTTCTCGCCCATTCTAGCAAGATGTTCGGGTAATAGATGAGGAAGTCAATTCGGATTCAGTATTGTCAAAAGTCATGATTGAACTGCAGAAAGATCCAAATTCACTTGCATTATACGTTGGAGCATGAATACATTTTATGCTTTTTGTATTTAAATCTGATGATTCAATTGCAAGATCAGTCAAAAGGGCTGAAAAAAATAGTGCAGTGGTGCACAAATTCTGACTGCATTGTAAAAGCCAAATCTCCATGTACTAGAAGAGGTCATCATAAAGCAGGACGCAATAGTTATAAAAGTGCGATCGGCACAAGAAGCACAAGTGAACAGCATATCAATTATTCTGAATAGATATAAGATGTTATTTGAATACATAAAGTACACTGAGACTACATTCCATTTATTTTTGAGCTCACTATTGTACAACAGAAGCAGAAACCTAAGAGAGAGGACAAATTAATTGCGTCTACTGCCCGGTTTAGAAATACCTTCAATATCATCAATACAAGCACAAAACTGTATTATAAATATTCCAAAAAATCAACTTTTCTTTCGAAAAAAGAATCTACAACACAGGTGTCATCCTTGGTGCTCCGAAATGACTTCCTCAGTATCCCATTTGTAATCGAATAGTTGAGGCTAATGAGGCATTCTTGGTGCAGATTCTGCAGAATAAAGCTAGCAATACCTAACTCTCAATTTATAAAATGATGGTCGGCCACAGCAACCATTGTAGATTTCCTGTTCATCTCTGTTTTCAAAACCAAAAAAAAAAAAGAAGGTGACGGTATCTGCATAGAGTTGTGATTTATGCTACTGAGCTGCAACAATAAACATTTGCTTCCATGATAAGCCACAAAACAGCAATTGTAGTCGAGTTTATTTTGATACTAGAACATTAAAGTTCAGCAATGCAAGTCGGTTCTTGGTTAAAGTGATCTTCTCTTCTGCTTCTGCAGCTTTTTCTCGCACCCCACGGACCACATTTTCAGGTGCCTTCTCTACAAACTGCAGCAAGTGATAGCAAGAAGTAAGTGATAGAGATTATTTGTGCATACAAAACCATTCTACTATATTGCCGAAACAAAGATGGACCCCTCACAATAACTCATTCGGCTATAACTACCAAAACTACACCTTTATGGAGGATAATGCTGGCAAAGTTCTTGAACCAAAGGAAAATTAAAACTACAAAAAAATGAAAATCAGAAAGGTTTGATTTTATAATTAAACTGTATCTAAAGGGAAAAAATAGGTATTTAGACTAGCAACCACTCAGTATTTAGAATACAAAAAACCCAAAATCCCATATATTATGGCCAGCTACCCAACATCCATATTAAGTGGCATCTACGAAGAGAATTTTTGTGTCACCAATTGACCACCGTCTGCAGATACATCATGTAAATAATACTTGCCATAATATCTTCCTCCTGACATGTGAAGATATTAGAGATAGTTCCACAAGCACTCAAACACTAATACAAGAGTGTTTACCAGATAATACTCAGGCACTTCTAGGAGTTTACTTTCAATATATATTAAAATGTTCGGATCTTAGATTTTATATTATCTTCACAAACAGTGTTAAAATCTGGAAAACTCATTTTGTATCTTTTCCCACATTCCTGTTTTATGTGCCGATAGAAATACCATCATTATAAAATTCCTAACTAGACCCAGGATATAATCAGCTTTGTATCTGTCTATTCATTGAATTTCAATGTCTTCAGAAGCTGACTTTGATACTGAGAAGAGCACAAGTAGACCACAGAACAAGGAAAGGTTTGTGCACATTTATTTAGTACAGAAAGGTAAGACATTATTTCATACTTGAGGAGAATTGAGTTTAGCTATCAATCCATCATACTCCTTCTGCATCTTGGAAAGGCGCTTTGAAAGCCGTTCAACTTCTGCAGAAATATCAACCATATCAGCCAGAGGAAGATATGCCTCTAGTCCTTCTCCAGCCACGAGATGAACTGATTGATCTGCATTTCCTGGAGCATATTACATGACATCCACCAAAGAAAGGCTCAGCAACCAGTACTTATTTGGAATCAATAAACAGTTGACATGAAAAGAAAATGTAATTTAAAGTTTCAACCAGGGAGTACAAAATGTAGTAGAAATCATGCCTGGAGAAGAATCTGTAAAATGCAGATTTTGTAAATCCAGCCGAGAAAGAAGTGCTAAAATCTCTCGTTCTTCCTGATCAAGCAAAAGATACAGTATAATGTTACTAACTATATTCCACGAACAAGAGCAGACGAGAAAATCTAATAATTCACCCAATTAGTCAGTTGGACCGGTTGAACAGTGAACCAATCTATTGAATGGTCCAATTAACCAAGGGTGCCATTCATATCTTGTACCAGTCATGAGTGTTTGCGAATAAGGCTGAATGTAAATTCAAATAATGTTGGTGGACGCGTGAAGTGCCTTATTGACTTATTATATGCATTATTTTGTGTGTGTAATTGGAGGGGCCGTGAATTTGCAGAATTTGTTTCTTTATCGAACATTGTTTGCTATATAATAATACATATTTTTAAAATAATATCTAATTGATACCAGTTCAGCTGCGATTAGACCATTCAACCTGGAATCAGTGTCTTGACCAGTTCAATGATCAGTTCAGTTTTAAAAACATTGGAAAAAATCATGACCAAAGCATAATTAGTTGGATTTATAGATTAAAATAAAAGAATCAGATGATAATAAAATAAATTGCTATTCAAAGAAAGGCATGATTAGTTTCATTTTCCCATAGACTGAGGGTTGAGAAATGAGGGTTAAATCACTCTTACAGCAATATATTCGATAACTTCATTGCTTGCAACCACAGATGCTGATATCCGCTTAGCAGGCTCAACAGAATATTCTGCCCGGGCATTTCGAATAGCTCTTACCTAAGAAGAAAGAACAGAAAAAGTTGCCATGGTTCTGTAACATCAGTATGATGATTGTAAATAAATCATGTTCCAAAAAGTGTTGAATAGGATGAGCAAAGAAAATAAATATATGAACACACCAAAGCTTGCAAATTTTCAAACTTCTTTATAGAGCTAGTGCTCCTTGGAAGTTGAGTCTCAGGCCAAGGTGATATAATAAGAGCGTGCTTCCGGTAAGGAAGTGCCTGTTGATAAAACCGAAATGAAGCATCATAAAATTTCCATCATATAATCACTGAACTTGAACTAATACTGAGATAGAATAAGAGAAATAGTGAAGAAGATAGGACTAAATTGCAGTGAGTGCTATTTCCTGGGAGGCACATGGCCACCTTATTTTAAAGAAGTGTATCCTACAGATATATTGAGCTATTAGTCTATTATATAGATTTATCACTTTGATGTCTCTTTTCTTTCTTGTAAACTTATTCTTATTCTATTTCCATCTCATCTTCACGTTCAATTTCATTCATATCTGTTTAGTAGGTACTTGGTAGACAGTTAGACACCATACTTTAACTCAATGCCAAAGACTTGAAATCATCATCCTAAATACTTATCCTAAAAAGCCTTAGCAAACTTATAGCAGCAAAAGCAGGAACATAGAATCGCATCACTGTAATTCTGTTCGTGCAGCACTATATAGGATTCTGCATCAAATTACCTGCCACAGCTCCTCAGTTACAAATGGCATGAAAGGATGAAGCACTTTGAGTATGTTCTCAAAAGTATATAATAGAACAGCCTGTGCCATTGAAGCAACAGAGTTGCCCCCAGCTCCAGAGTGGTATAGACGTCCTTTACTAGCCTCAATGTACCTAAAAGATCATAGAGCATTACTCAAAATCAAGGCAAAGAAGAACCACAAAGATCAACATATAGAAACATGTGCATAAAATACTACAAGTGTAAAAGAAACACACCAATCAGCAAAATCAGCCCAAAAGAAATCATATGTTTCTCTTCCCACTTCTCCAAAGTAAAATTTGTCATAGCTTGCACTGACTGATTCAATGAGCAAGTGGAGTTTCGAAACCTAAATTAAAATTAAAATTATCACAGCTGAGAAAAATTAGCAACATAAGAAAAGTAAAAACAAAATTGCCTTACCACCCAAGACTCTGGTAAAGGAAGATTAAGCACAGTGCCTTCACTGTCAAACTGAACACAAAAAAGGAAAGCCTTAGTATGAGATCATGTTGGACCAGTATTAACTAAATAAACATCAGGAGAACTAGAATAATTTGAGTACCAATTTTAACTAAACTTCCTTCATAAGAATGATATGTCATAAATTCATCATATCGTTTAGCCGTTTCTTTTGCAAAAATACTACAAAAACCAAGGCCCAAACTTAAACTATGCCAGTAATTACAAGTTGTCAAACTTGGAACTAAGTTTATTATTTGTTTCACTTTCACGCATCTGGACTGACTCTTGAGAGTTACTGGCTAATAGTCACTTCAAAATTTTCAAAGGATATATCCTTTGAAGTCTTGCTTTTTCTTTACAGCTGAGTAATGAATCTCATGTCGACTTCTAGGAGGACCACAGGGTAGAAGATTTCCCTTTATGCCTTTCCACATCTTTATCTCCTCGCATCCTAACATAACAAGTTTTTTGTGTGCAAGGTTCTGTTGCTTCATGGAACTTTAACATTTTCACAATTTAAATAGGGAATTTTGAGTGTAGTTCCTCTTGTATCTCCTCGACTCTTCATCTGTCTCCTAACCCAGAGATAAAGACTTGGTCCCTCTCTTATTTGTGTGGTTTAGATGAAGAGGCTTATTTTTGGTTACAATGTGCAGCATATGCTATGCTTTGATGCATTTGGTTGAAGTGTAACCACTTAGTATGGGATACAATTAGGGTTTTGGATTCTATCTTGTGCAAGGAACATGGCCTTTTTAACAAGGTCTCACTAGTAGATATGTCGAGGGCTTGGGCAACACTGTTCCGTTAATTGTGTATCTTTATTGTCATTTTGTACAGGAGGATTCCTTATCCTCCTTTCTGTTGTACTTTCCTCCCTTTCATCATAATGAATTTCTACTTTTCTCTAAAGAGAAAAAGTCAAACATTTTTTTATAATAATAATTCAATAAGAAAGAAGAAATTTACAGAGAGCTAACCCTGGGGAGGGGTTATCCTTTAAAATTTTAAACATATGTATTGATTAATGAAAAGGAGAACACAAAAGCTATCTATCTCTTGGACGCTAAGATTGTTTCTCACCTTATAAGACAAAATTTTTTGCCAAGCTGATTTATCATTTTCATTAGGCAAGTTCTGTAATATAAATTTGCCAGCATTCCACAATTTGTTTGTGAAGGCCTTGTTGGAGGTCAACCGCTCAGTAGACAAATTAAGGTCCTGAAAGGACAAAACAGTATCCCATCAGTGTCATTAATAAGCTAATCAACTTCCTCATAGAATAAACATGGTTAATGGCAAGTCTGCAGTTAGAAGAACACAGCAAAACAAACCTGACCAGCTGTTCCTAAAGCTAGGGTAAATCGTAAAGCATCTGTCCCAAATTCTTTGATAGTGTCAAGGGGGTCTATTACATTTCCCAATGTTTTAGACATTTTTCTCCCCTGAAAATAATACAGTTGTTAGATTATCCGTTTACAGACATGGCATAAGTTAGAAGCAGCGGTGAATTACCAATAAAAGTATAAAACCCTAAATAAAAAAATGTACGATGTAAGATTTGATACAAAGACAGTAAATTTAAACTATCACCATGCCTAACCACAAGGATGGAACTACATTGCTCCCCTGTCCCCCAAAATTTTATTGCTCCTATATTTTTTAGTGTCATGATCAACAATATTCAATGCCTCATATGGTTTTATTTTGTAAATGAGATTGGAGAGCAAAATTGTTGAGATCCTACATGAACTACAAATATGGCCAGAGTACAACTTATACAGGCTAAGACAATCTTCATTTTAGTGGAGTTGAGTTAGGCCTGTCTAAATTGAAGATGGTATTAGACTCTATCATAGATATTGGGCCACCCTTGACTGTTAAAAATACAAAATCAACCAGGCCCCATTATTTTTTTTCCCAGTGAAATGAACCTAGCTTCGTGGATTTTCTAGTGCAATTTACCAAGTCCCACAATTTTCCCAGTGCAATTAAAAAGAAAATCAGAAATAAATCCATGCTAAAAATGTCTAATCCTGAACATCAGAGGGTGTGTTGAGATCCCACATCATGCACAAATATGGCCAAAGTAGAACTTTTAAAGATTAAGGCAATCCTCACCTTACAAGTTAGCTTTTAAAGTTGAGTTAGGCCTAGCCTAAATTTAAGAAAAAATTGTTCAAGTGGTGACTAAGAATGATGGTAACTATATCTTGGCTGGTAAAACTCTTAATCTTAGATTCCTAAGTATACAAGAATATAATTCCAATAATTTGTGACTATTTTTGAGATCACACCTTTTTTTAACTCCATCTCCTGCCCATTTTATATGGACTTGAAGCTAGAGGACATTGGAAAGATTCAATAAGTTAAAAGGGCCATACAAAGAGGCTGTTCTCTTGTAGGATTTAGTTATAACCATTCCTAGGTTAGGCATGGAGTCACATGATTTGCAGTTACCTTGCAAAGGTTGCATAAACAAAAAGGCAATCATAGAAAGATGTGATGGTTGGTTGAAGTTAAAGACAGCCAAAGAGGCTAAGTATAAGAGGGAAATTGACATAGTATTGAATATTGATGCCTCCATTTTGCAAATGAAGTTAAAGTCATGAGGGACATGAGTGTTCTGAGGGCTTGTAGATAATGAAGAAAAGCTAGTAATGGGATATATATTTACGAACTAATGGATAGAGGTAAGGAAGCTATTCAAAACACTTTAATGTAAATGAAAAAAAAAAGTATCGCGAGATTTATTATATCATTGATGGAAAAGATGGGAATGCCAGCTTCATCGTCCATTGCAAGTCATTATTTAAACCAAGAGTGCTACTATTTCAATTCAAGGATTGAGTATCATCTTGAAGTGATATATGGATTATATGAGTGCATTGAGAGGTTCAGTTCCTCTAACGAAGAGATAGATAAAATTACATATGAGCTATTCCGCTACAACATTTTCAAGATTGGCCACTACACCCCGCTATCAATAACTATGATTATAGATTAGAATAATTTAGTATCCAATAATATGTAGATGTATCCTAGAAAATTTTAGGATATCTTAGATTATCTTTTAGGACTGGTTTCTTCTATTTTCTTAGTTTTGATATTTCCTAATATCTCATGATTTGTGTCCTTGAGTTGGAATTATTAGTATTAGTATAACAGGGGGGTAGTGCTTTATGCTTTATTTACAACTCATTGTAATACATCTCAATTAATATCAATTTTCTTTTATCTCTCTTCCTTTCTCCATACCTAGAACCAAGTATTTCCATCAATAAATATATTACAAAATCTTAACCTTACATTGTTTCTCTCATTTATGTCATGTGAAAACCAAGTCAGAGTCCACTGTATTCAGCAACATAAAATAATATATATTGAGGGAAACACAAGGTGTAGAAAGTAATAAACATCTGCAAGTGGAAACTTTTTTCTGACAGTAATGCATACAGTGCCTAATACTTATAGAAGATAGAAAAGCAAAAGCATAAACATTGTATTAAGAGTAAAAAGAAGCATAAACATTCTAATACAATAAATTGATGTCAGACATTCTTTCACTTAGTTCACCAAAATGGGAAAATTCTGTATTAAACAAGAGAAAAAGTCAAAATGAAGAAGATGCATAGCATGCTAAACCCTATAAGATTAGAGAGCTCTGGTTTATCCCAGCCTTGGCTAGTTCAATAATCGAACAAACCCAAACCAATGAAATCACTTATACGGGACATATAATAAAGCAGCTTGAGCAAAATTCACCCAAGTTTTCCATATTTAAAAGCAAAAGAGGCACATGCCATTCCCAGTTTCAACTGTTTAAAATACATGATTTATGATCATAAAACAGAGGAAAGCAATTTGGCTAACAGCATGATAACTTCAAAATACATATATAACTTTAAGTCACCTGTGAATCTCTGATTAGTCCATGCAAATAAACATAAGAAAATGGAACAGTTCCTGTGAACTCAATCCCCATCATCACCATTCTTGCTACCCAAAAGAACAATATGTCATGCCTGTCAAAAGTTAAAAAGAACCATCACTTTTAGAAGTACAGCTAAGGTAACAATTCCCAATGGAAAATAGATAATAATATGAAATTAAATTGAATAGAACCTAACACATACACAAGGTTACAAACTTACAGTAGATATATCATACAAGCATAAGCAACAATATTATTCTCACAAAATCAAAGGTAAGTGTTGAGAAGAAAGAGGAACAAGAGACATAGGATGAATCTGTGTGTTTAAACTATACAGCACAGAACATGTATTTATAATAGAAATCATTCATATACAAATTAAATAATGAAATATACAGTTATCTAATTACGTAATTACAAAGGTATTAGCTTCCCTATTTACAGCATTACTATAGTTACATATTTCCAACACTCCCCCCCCAAGTTGGAGCATATAAATCACATGCACCAAGCTTGTTGCATATATAACTAATCTGAGGAGCTCTTAATGACTACGTGTTGATATCTGTAAGTTGATCATTAGAATTCACAAAGCTAGTGGTAATGTCTCCAAATAAAATTGTTTATCTAATGAAGTGACAATATATATCAATATGTTTAGTCCTCTCATGAAAATTTGGATTTGAAAAAATACAAGGCTACTTGATTATTGCAGATAAGAGACATCTGTTTAACCTCCCTAAATCTCAATTCTTTGATAAATTCTTTAAGCCAAATAAGTTCAGAAGTGACTAAAGTCATTGCTGAATACTCTGCGCTAGACTGTGCAACTACATTTTGCTTTTTATTTTTCTAGGAAATTAGATTACCACCAATAAGGATGCAGCAACCAAATGTAGTCCTCTTATCACTAGGTGATCCTGCCTAATCTGCATCAGAGAAATAACATCATATATGCCTTCAAGAAACAAAATAGGTTGGAGAAAAAAATTAAAGAGTTTCATACTACAAGTTTTAAACTTTGGGTACACAGGTAAAGTTAGAGGAAAGAACGGAGTAACGATAATGCATATTAGTTCCTTACTTTTTAAAATTGCACCGTTAGTCCCTGATATTATCAAGCCATCAGGTCCCCATTAGGATCCAATTGCAAAGTATAAGACTTGAGTCCCACATTAGAAGTATGGGACTCTAATGTGAGGTTTATAAGGCCTTTGGCTCTCCAACTACAATAGCTAGTTTTTGTGATGTGGGTCTCCCAAGGTTCTTATCAATTGGTATTAGAGCTTTCCACCATGTCTCCCAGCTGCAAATGAGTAGCGCAGGTAGTGATGCTGACAATACAATGTTTTCCTTGGACTAATCAAAGAGGGCTACTGTACAGCCAACCCATGTGAGCGCCAAGGCTACAAAGCATGGTGGGATGTTAGGTTCCAATCGCAAGGTATGGAACTTGTGTCCCACATTGAAAGCATGAGATTCTAGTGTGGGGTTTATAAGGCCTTTGGCTCTCCAGCTACAATAGCTAGCTTTTCTAGAGTGATTCTCCCAAGATTCTATTAATCCTCCACATTAACTAATGACTAAAAAATGTTAACTTTTGTTAACATATGTTAAGTGACATGTGTGATGCCAATGTGGATTCAAAACGATGTCATTTTGCTGAATGTGGCAGATCAAAACTTGCGATTAAACCAAGGTAACATATTTAGAAAGAGAGAGGGTGATTTTGAAGAGTTTGATGCCTTTTGTGAAGATTCAAACGCAGTGGTCAAAAAATTTGAAGAACACAACTTTGAAGACAAAGGAGATATATTAAGGCAAAGATGATGTTGGCTGAGACCAAGCTACAAATCCTAATGGCGTAAATGTATCTATTGAGTGAAAGAGATGTGCATTGTGTTAGGGTTGTTAGGGATTAAGTTGGTTAGTGGTGGTGAGATTTTCTCTTGGGAGTGTTGAATAAGACATTTGGGAAAATGGAGCACTATGGTGTTTGAGTTGAATTTAAACCCTTTTGTTTGCATAGGTCAGTAATGGGACCACATCATCCTCGATTGTTTGTTCTCGAAGGTAGGGCAAAATGGTTGACATTTAAGTTGTTTATTTATCGAAGCATCTGCTATAATGGTCCCCTACTGTCAATTTTTTATACATTGGCTTCTGTATCTCATGTGATGACATTGTGTAGGGAGGCCACTTTGTGTAATAATTAATTATTAATTAAAAATATTTAATAGTATTTTAAATAAATAATTTAATAATTAAATTTTTGTCATATACATGATCAGGTTTTATAAACCAAATTTGCAGAAGAACAAGAGTATTTTACGCTTGCTAATGTGTTTTGGAATGCCAGTAAATTGAGTTTCAAAGATGGGCCGAGGCAGATGCTAATATGTTAACAATGGTTGAAGCTGTTAGAAACAATGATGGAGTGATTACTGTATACTATGAGCACCAGAATTCATGGATGTGTATCCCGTTCACATAATTCAGCAAGCCAAAGGTGACGAATTTGATGAGGGTCTTGTTAGTGGACATGTGCCTCACGACAAAGTTAAAACATGTCAAAGAAAGAAGAAGTCAAGACCAAATATAAAAAATACTATGTTTAAAGAAGGATACGAAAAGGGAAGGTTGCAATTGAAGCTATTAGTCAGCCTGTGATTGAATCTGTCAATGAAAAGAGTAGTTTGGAGCAAAATGTTGAGCATAATGTGGAAAGGGAAGTCATGGTTGATGACATAATGTGGAGGTTGAATCAGCCTATAGAGTTTGTTCCACTTAATGCACCAATGATTAAGATGGTTAGCAAAAGTACCATGGGTAATGAGAATGTTAACTCTGCTGCTATGATTGATCAGGAGTTTGATGAAATATCACACACCATTAATCATATACTTAGAAGGCTTACGAATAGTGTAGGTCAAATATAGTTCAAAATGGAATCAGAATGTTGGAACTGAAAAGGAGAAAAATAAGAGTAAAGGTTCTAAGGAAAGAGGAAAAGGAAAACAAGCTTAGTCTGATGACAGATAAGATTGCCAGGTCATTGGCGGTTGCCAGAAAAGTTGCTGAAACAGTGCACCATCGATGAACAGTATCAGAGGAGACTGGAAACCAAAGATGACTTCAGTTTCTGGTAAAATAATTCACCAATGCGCAGTGGGTTCACTGGAGATGTACAAGATTAAACATTAAAGTTAGTCTCTCACTAGACTCTTCATTCCATATTGAAAGAGAGAAAAGTCCGACAACATGTAGATGAATGTATGTATCAACAGCACAATGAAACATATATTTATATTGATAATAGTAATAATTACAAAATATTTACAGAATATTCAATTACCTAATTAACATAATTACAAAGATAAACTTCTCTATTATTATAATTACTTATATTTAACATGATGAAAGAATCTTGGGTGACAAAAGTCTACAAGAGAAGGTTAGAGATCAAATGAAGTTATGCAAGGTATCAAAATGCAAAAAATGAGACAAGAAATGTTGAAAGTGAAGTACAATTTAAGGCTTTTCAGGAGTTCTATCAACATCTTGAGACAAAGAATGACCAAAGAAAGATATACTTTTTCCAAAAATAGGGAAAGAAAATTTGAAGATTTCGAGTAAGTTATAAACTTTCATTTATCAAAGATAGATGAAAAATGATTTTTATAAACTTTTTAATAATGAACAAGGAACAAATGAAGATATAGAAATATTAAAAGCCCAAGCGGATGAACTAAATTTGACATACTATAACAAAATTCGAGTTGAAGAAATAAGAGAAGTCCTTAAGAGGATAGATGATGGTAAAGTGATCGACCTTGATGATGGTATCCCTATTGAGTTTGAAAATATACAAGAGAACAAAGAATCCATTGGCTTACAAATTTTGATATCCCTATTAAGTAGAGGAAGAACCCTTTATAGTCCCCACATACAAGAACAAGGGCAATATTCAAATTTGTACAAATTATAGAATAAAACTTATGAATAATACTAGTGGAGTTATTAAAAAGGGTGACTGAACATAGACTAAGAGAAGAAACTGGAATTACAAAGAATTAATTTATTTTTATAGTAGAAAAGTCCACAATAGAAGCTATGTATCTTTTACCAAAGTTGATGAACAAGCACTACATCAAAGAAAAAGATTTACATATAGTTTTTATTAACTTAGAAAAAGCACATAAGCATATGCCAAGAGAAATGTTGTGGAAGGATTTAAAAAGGAAAATGGTTTGTGTAGCCTATATTTGGGCTATACAAAATATGTATAATGAAATAACTACAAGTGTGACAACTCCTTGTAATTATTGTATTTCCTATATCTATAATGTATCATCTATGTATGGTAGGGTCTCTGATGTGTAAACACATGGGTTTTCACCAAATATCTCTCGTTTCTCTCAACTAACAACACATACTTATATTATATATATGACAAAACATTACTAATATCTACCACCCAAAATCAACAGTGTATACATCGCACCTCTATTCAGAGAATAACTATAAAACAAACACCAAAGTAGAGGACAATTCATATCCAAAACCATATATTATTTCAAATATAAGCTGGCTAAAACCAGGACGCAAAATCTTCACTGTCAACAATGATCAGAAGCACATAAGTAATCACATACCCAGTTTCAAGTATTGTAGTCGGATAGAAGCGCTTAAAATCCTCTGCACACAAATCTGGCCATCCAAGGGTACTAAAAGGCCATAGTGCACTAATAAAATATAGAAGAATCTATAGTTAGTCCACACAATTGACAAAAAAATTAAAGATATCCAACATGCCATATAGATCAGGTTTCAGCTTCTGTTACACATAAATGTCTACAGATAAATTACACCAAGTTTTGAGATTTGACAACAAAAAAACTATACCAATAATATTTTAAACAAACAATTTGAGCAGCAGCAGCAACACAATTAACATATGCATGACTTAGAAAATAGGAATACTAAGCAATAATGCATTCATAGATATTTTGAAAACTATTCTTGCAACAATTGTCATGATGAAATATCTCAAAGAACACCAAAATATTCTATAGTTCAAACATTAATTTCTACATTAGAAATGCCACTACCTTAAACATGGTTCCAAAATGCATACAAGGAAACAGAAAACATTAAAAAAATAAAATTAAAAAAAAATAAAAGAATGGGTATTTGTTCTCTTTCTCACATAACATAATCCTCAATTTCATAAGCAAAAGTAATGTCAAACTTCTGAACAGGTCATGTCGATACATAATGACAGCACAGCCTTAATCCAAAAGGCAAAATTTCGTAGGGGTGTTAAAACTCTAATGATATGGAGAAAATTTTAAAAATAAAATGGAAAGGAAAATTTACAAAGGGATGGGTATAAGGAATCCTCCATAACAAAAGAACAAGATCCAAATCAATAAGGATAAAAGAGGAATCAACCAAGCAAAGATGCTCAATCCCTCATAATAATATATGTATTTGGAAATGCCATTAAAATCTTTTCCAAAAAGAGTAAACCAACCTTTGAAGCAGAGGTGAAGAACAAACCAGAACAAACAATGTATATGGAAAATTTGTCATTTTATAGCATATAGAAAGAAATAGACTGGCATAAATTCCACAAACTGAGATGGGGGTGGGGGTAGTGGGGGGCCGGTAAGATAAAATCACAAATAGGAAAAGAACAAAGAGGAGAAAGAAAAACAAAATGTGTTAATCTATCTAAAATACCAAAAGACACAGAGCTTCGATAGCATAAATCAATATATCATGCCTTACACTCAATCCACACATACACTATATACAACTTAATGGATGCCTAAATCATCTTCTGAGTGGACCATTCTTGTGCAAATAGTAAATCACATCTCTGTTAGAAAAATACATTTACAATACTAGTTAGTCACATGACAACATTCTCATTTTTACTGTGTACGAAAAGATCATGCACATGCATGTCAAATTGAAAGAGAAAACTAAAATAAAATACCTTGAAAACCAAGTATCAAGAACATCAGGATCTTGATATATTTCTACATTCTTCCCATATTTCTTGTGAGCTTTCTCAAGTGCTTCATTAGCATTCCTAGCAACTATGTAGTCCTCTTCATTCTCTTTTCCAACAATATACCACACAGGTATCCGATGTCCCCACCATAGTTGTCTGCTTATACACCAATCCTTAATGTTGGAAAGCCAATGATTGTAAATCTGCCATGATAATAAACTACATCGTATTATTTTTCTATTCACAAGATGAAGGTAAGGAATCCTCTAAAATATAATGCCAAAAGGAAAACAGATCCATGAGTGTGATGTGTGCAATTCATGCATTAGTTTTTAAGTTGTATTTCTATTTAAATGGTGCATAATCTTGCATTTAGATTGAATTTCATTAAGTATTTTACTTATTTTGTTCAAGTTACTTGTTTTATATGTTTTTTAAGTAGAAGAGTGGATTTTAAAGAGAAAATTTGGGTAATCCGAAAGTTAGAATGAAGAGAATGGAGCTTAGGAGATATTTAGAGCTTAAATTTGGAAGAATAAGCTTTCAGCAACAAAGTGCACAACCCGCCAGTGTTAAGAAATACACCTATGTTTCTGTCAACTCTAAAGGAGCTTGAAAAAGGGCAGGACAGCAGTGAACACAATCAGGTTGCATCACAAGACACACCTGTGTTCCTGTCTAGTCTATAGGAGCTTGGAAAAGGTCATGACACCAGCGAACACAACCAAGTTGTGTTGCAAGACACATCTGTGTTTGCACTTTGCAGTGCTGACAATAATCAATAAAATTAATTGCATTTTCTCTCTAAAGGACCAAAAGAAATGTATTGAAGGATTGTCTGTAAAACCACTAAAAAGGAAGGCGGAACCTTTTAGCTTTGGGAGACTCTTGGTTGACACAAAAGTTAAAGAGACTGAAAACTACACACCAAGAGAAAAGCGACCATTTAAACCAGAAAAGATTGAAGCAAAAGTGAAAACTTTTTGGAGAAGATCTTAGGACATTTTTAGGATCCACAAGAGCAATACACTCCTGAAGGCAAAGATTAGAATTCCTCCTCTATTCAATTTTAATCTTTTATTGTTCTTGTTCTTCTCATTATGTCTTGGTTATTTTTCTTGATTTGTATCCAAACAAGTAATTTTCTTATTATAGGGGTTTGGGAGTAGCCAAATTATGATTGATGACAATGTAATGAACATTTGATAATCTTTGATTAATTTTGATTTCTTGATTCAATTCTTGTTCTGAATATTATGAATTTTTTGGGCCCCTAATTTACATGATTTTAGATGTAAGGGAAGAACTACAAGGTGAACTTTACTATTTGAAACTCCAAAATTGAACCTAAGATTGTAGACCATGAAAGTAGTATCGATTTTAATTTTGTCTCCTATAGTTTGTGGTGAAACTAATCCCTAAAAGTTTATACGAATTTGAATTAATCAGTTTTAAATTAATTGCATTTCTATTATTTTCCTTTTCTGTTTTATCTTTAGTATCTTGTTGATAGGTTGCCTTTAGATAGTTAGATTGTAATTATTCAACACTTAATATAATTTTTATATTACTTGACAATAACCATGCACTTGCAGCTCTATTAGAGTGTAGGAGGGCTGCTCATTGGATCTGTACAGGCAGGCAGCTCTATTGACATGACCCAAACATTTTTTGGCCATCTTCTTCATCTCCAATGATACTTACGACAAACCTGCACGTTTTCTAATGACTGACCAATTCTCAGTTTTCTATTTTCCTCTCTGTGTTTTGGATATTAATTTTATATTTTTCAGCATATATATGTATTTAGCTTAATTTATATTAGGTATACTTAGGTCTTTAGAATAACTGTCATCTTGCTACCCGCTATCCGCTATGCCGCTATAACATTTTTGGGGTTGGCCGCTCCACGTCGCTAACTGGGATTAACTACTATAGTTAGAAGGCCCAAGGCCATCTAAACCCCACACTAGAAATCAATGTTTGTTCGAAAGGGACACCCTTTCGTGTAGGGGAAATCCATGAACATTTTTTCTCTTATTCACAATTGTTTAATAACTTTGTTCATTTCATTTTGGTTTCTATCAAGTTCCCATTTCTCTTTTCTAGGCTTTTAGAGCAGTGATGTGTGCATAAATGACACATTTTTCTCACTTAATTTAGAACTTAAACACAACAAATTCATGCATTTCACTTGTATTTTGCATTAATTTTCATTAGTTCAGTCTATTTCTTGTTTTTATGTTTTGTGTGTAGGTGTAGGCTGAACTAACTAATGAAAATGAATGCAAAATACACATGAAAATAATGAGGTTTGAGCATTAGGTGTGTTACACAAGATGATGATTGAAAGCCATGTTGAGGTCCCTTGGAAATTAAAGTCCACTGTCTCCAACTGTTGGGTGTGAATATTATTTATTGTTGTGTAAGGACTCACAATTGCATGATCTTATTTTGGAAATAAGCATTGCAAGAATAACTGAAAGGTGAACCCTAACACTAGAAATTCCTAAATTGAACCTAAGATTTAAATCACAAAAGTAATTTTGACTTCTTTGAGGAAAATAACAAATCATAACAAAATGTTGATGGGTTTAATATGATGCAGTTTCTGCAAAAATAGTTGATTAAATTGGCACATTATTGTACTCTGAAAGGAATTAATAATTACCTTAGGATGATTCATTTTCAAAACCTATAACATTCAACTAGGTAAACTATATATTTGTTTCAATCAATCCAAATTGTGGTTAACCTAAGTCGTAGAAGCTTGGTCTTGATTTACCTCTCTTAAAATTAGCTTTTCCATATTTCTCTTTGTTTCCTTATTATTAATTTCTATACATTTAGATAATTAAAACACGAATAATTGGGACTTAACAGCACAGTCCCTGTAACTAAAATACTTTTCTTTATAAATTGATGACCCTGTGCACTTGTGACCACATCGAACACCAAACCTGAAAAATACTCCTATGCACTGGCCAAACATAGTTTCTACTTTATTTCATTAGTTTCGTGAGCCAATTCATGAATAAACTGAATGAAAGTCATCTGGATGTTGTCCATTGTCTGTAGAATTTTTAGATATTTGAAGATGACTCCTAGTAAAGAAATATTCTTTAAAAAATGGGCAAATAAGGGGATTTAAATTTACTCAGGTCACAACAGGGTAGGATCCATTTCAGATGGAAAATCAACTGTTGGATACTACACCTACATATGGGGGAAGCTTAGTAACTCAATGCAGTACAAAGCAGTCTGTTGTTGCAAATGGTGCGGAGGCAGAATACAAGCTTTAGCTCAAAGCCTGTGAGAGGGATTAAGGGAATTGAGGATTCGAATCATAATGCCAATGAAAGTGTTTTCTGATAACAAGGCTGAAATAAGCATCATAAAAGATGTTCACCACAACAGAACCAAGCATCTAGACTAATATACTCATTTTATAAATGAAATAGTAAGAGCAGGAATTTTGAACCTGATCAACACACCAACTCAACTCCAAGTGGCAGATATCTTCACACAAACTCTTTCAAGAATCAAGTTTAAGAGTTGAAGTCCAAGCTGGGAATCATAAAACATCTATTCACCATCTTGAGAAGTGCTGAAGTTCCAATCTCAATCCCTAAAGGGGTCAGTTTTATTTTTTCAATTACTGTGGTTTGATGATTGTATTCTGTTCCATAATTTGTTTAGTCAATTTTTTAATTATTAAAATGTTCCACATTGGTTAGGAATAGAGGCAGAATACTCCATATAAGGGCTAGGGTTGTAGAAAATTGGTTAGGAATAGAGCCAAAATACTCCTTATAAGGGTTAGGGTAGTCCTCCTATAAGCTAGCTTTTGGAAGTGAGTTAAGCCCAAGTTTCTTAACATTAATAAAGTGATTTGGAAGGCTATTTCAAAAAATCCCTATATTATGTTTTTTTTTTTTTCTAATTTAGGAGATTGAGTGCTGGAATTGAGAAGAATCAATGGAAGGCCTGTTGCCATCCTTTTAAACATTTTGAATGAGAAAAAATCAGAGTTTTCCTCTCAGAAAAACAACAAAATGGAAACTCCCTTGAATTACCCTCATCAGATTTTGGGCCTCATTTTTACCTAAACCCTTTTAGTGAACCAACAAAAGCTGGTCCAAAGATAGAATGATAGACCCAAAGCACTTTGTAAAACACAAGATTGTCACAAAAGAGAAGTATTTGTCTTACAATTACAACACAAGTCATTTGTGTCATTTGTGTAAAGGAGCCAGTATCAGATCTACATGTCAGTAACAAGTCATTTGTGTTGAGCCAGTGAAGTACCACTATCCAAACATAAAGATTAAACAATCTTACAAGGAGCTTCACATTTCCAAACAGTTTGGTCATGCAGGAAACTTTGCTAGCTGAGGGAATGAAAAAGTAACTAAGAATGGAATCACAAGAAAGCACTCCAAGAGAGTAGAAGTCCAAATTCACTAATCAGGATTAGCAGAGAGATATTTGGAACCAAGAGGAAAAAGGAATGGAATAGGCTAATTCCCCATCACTCAAATTTCTACTGAAGAATGAGTTATGGTTTAAGTAACGGCTCCAAATGAAAATACAATGCAAGTTCTTTATTGCTGTGATGAGGGTAGGTGGAGAGTTAGAGACAAGGAAAAGCCTCTATGAAGAAAGCATTTTCCATACAAGTAAAATCATTGTGTAATAAAACAGACCTTGCCTACGTGCAAGTAATATTGGGTGTGTATGTCTGACAATGAATCAGCAAACCTTCTCAAATCTTTCTGGAATTATGGTCAGTTCTCCTTTTTCAACTGCATGAAGAGCTTTTTCAGCAAGAGGCTCCATACTCACAAACCACTGCTTACTAACAAGTGGCTCTATCACCTGATTGAAAAATGAAGAGAAACTCTCAGTAAGAGATTCAAATAGCAGAACAAGTAAGTGACAAAATATAATGCCAATCATAATTTTCAAAATTAACTAAGAAAATACTATCTCACTTCTCCGCCACGCTGAGATCTGGGAACTCGTAAAGTGTGTGGTTCCTTTTTCACAGCTAATCCTGTCTCCTCAAGCTCTGCCCATAGTTTTTTTCGAGCCTCAAAACGATCAATGCCACTGGTGGTACAAAATTGGCTTCAATATATTATTCACAGCAATATATGGTAATTGTTCAACAGATTAATACGATGGTTCTATAAATACCTGTACAGGCCAGCAACATTATTAAGTGTTCCATCCTTGTTCATCACATTAAGTATCGGAAGACCAAGCTTTCGAGCAAGTAGGTAGTCATTATGATCATGTCCTGGACTAATTTTCAAAACTCCAGTTCCAAATTCTCTATCAACATTCTGTGACACAGCATAAATCAATGTAGAGTAATGATAAAGACTTCACAGTAGCATTGTCCATTTAATATTGGTTGCATAATCATTTTTGTAAAAAAAAGCAACATATTAAAACTCGTGATAAGGAAAAACTATTGTCACAAGCATAAGAGTTAGAAAGTAGTTAATTAGAAGAGTGTTATGTGGCTGGGATTGTACAGTTGTATTAATCTTAGCACTCACAGAAGTTTTAATGACAAATAAAGGCAAATAAAATAATCTGTATTCAAGCACTAAAATAATAATTAAAAAAAGCTTAAATAATATTTTAGTCCCTATAAGAAACCAGCATTTTCAAATTGCTCCTTATACAAAAAAGTTTGTGAGTAAGTTCCTAAATGAAAAAATACTTTTGAAATAGTCCCTGTTGTTAACTTCTAATATCACTGTTATGTTATTTAAATATTTTTTTTTTATTTTGATTCCTATACAACATACATAACATATTTTTTCATTGTGGTCCTTTTTTGCTATACATAATACATTTTTCATTTTAGTTCTTATATGAAAAATATTCAAATTATAGGGAAAAAATAATTGACTTCACAAGTATTTTGATGTTGTATTTAATGGATAATAATCTCAACTTCTTTAAACAAGTAATCTACCATAATCTCAAAAATTATTTTGTGTAAGGACCAACATGGAAAAAAAGAAAAAAGTTATGTATACCAAAATAAAACTCACCACAAAAACAAGTTGAAAAATGCTATGGTGATTTATGACAGACTACAAAAGATTATTTATCGATTTTAAATAATACTATTGTAACTTAATGTGATTATTGAGATTATTATCAGATTCAGAAGGTGTCTGAGATAGAAAAAAATTATAAAATGTAACTTTTTTTTTATTCATTATGGAAGATTGCAATAAGAGAATTTGAACTGATTTATCCATTAAATGCAGTCAATTATGGTAGATTACTTGTTTTATGAACAAAACTTAAATACAATCATTTTAAGTGTGTCTCTCTAATTAAAATTAAATTTTTACCTAGAAAACCAATATAATAAAGGTTGATATTAAAATTTAATAATAATTTAGAGATAAATCTCTAATTTTAATTAAATTACTAAAAGTATTTAAAGTACTACTTATAAGTTTTATCTTCAAACAACTCTTAAATAATACATCAAAAGTACCAAAGACAACATCAAAATACTTTTTACCCAACCCTCAAACACTATCTTCTCATAACAATTTCCATAACCACATCAATCTACAATTATATTGTTTATAGTAAATCATCCTCTGTAACTTGTCATAAATTACTATCACCTTTCAACTTGTTTCAAGTGAGTTTTATTTAGGCCTCTATACATAACATTTTTTTTTTATTTTGATCTATATACGTAGCACATTGTTTTCACTATTGTCCCTATATGTTACATATTCCTTTATTTTGATCCATATAATTTATATTTTCTTTCATACAAGGACATGAATGAAAAATGAGTTATGCATAAAGACAAACAAAAAAATGTGTTATGTATAGGCACCAAATTTAAAATTTAAGTTTTGTAATTCCTATAGGACCAAAATAGCATTTAAACCAAGACACAACATCAATTGAACAAATTGGAACCTTTATTACCTTGTCAGAAATAATAGGAACATGTCGGCCAAACGTCTGAGGTACAATTGCCATCATACCAATATACTTGGAATAACGATCATCCTACAATTTTGTGGAAATACAAAATTTAAGCCTTGAAAGGAAAGAAGTAGATAGAAAAAAAATCTCAATATTATTTTCAAACACAAATTGTTTAGAGGAATTCAGATGACATCATATGATAGGAATCTAAATAGTCTGGGAAAAAAAGGTTTTGATATGAAAGAATCTAAGGTGCTATTTAGTTTGAGAAAATGTTTTTCATTTTTAATTACAAAAATGCCACCTTGATTTTATTTTGTTTCCTGTTTTCAAATATATGTAAAATTAGTGAATTAGAGAATTAATTAAGATTTGTTATTGTAATGAAGAATTAATTACAATAACCTAGCTTTTTTCCCAATAGGTCAAGTTGGTCACATGGATCAAAGTGTCGTAAATCATGCCTATTAACTTGTCTCCCTCTGCCTCTAGCTACTAGGCTAGTAGGCTACCCTCCTGATTTACTCACCTTATGGGGCTTCTTCTACAGGTCTTCTCCAATCTCCACCCATGCTCAAACCACCTATACGGGGCAGACTTTTATCATCTTGTCTACAGTAAGTGCTACCCCATTATTTTGCACAGTACATTCATTTCTAATTCTATCTTGTCTAATATGTCCACTCATCCAAAGCAACGTTCTCACCCCTGTTACATTGAGTTCATTCTCTTGTTGGCCTTTTATAGCCCAACATTCATTGTTAATAGGAATTAGTGTCTAGGAAATAGCGCTTTGGCCATGTAAATTGTATCATGAACTGTGTGTGGATGTGCATATGTATGTGTAATTATCTTTTCATTCAAGCAATTATATCCTATTTCTCTGACTCATGTCAACATATCCTATACCAAATATGTTAGGCTAGATAACGGGAACCTAGGCTTGCTTCTACCAAACATCTTGAAGGATACAACTCAATTTATTCTATTGATCTCTTCTCTCCATCAAATTTCTATCAAAATGTGAACACACACATACAAATGATTGTTTAAGCAAAAGCTAAAAAACATCACCTACTATGTGCATTAAATGCTAGAGTTTCAATATGATTAAATCTTAATAAATTAGTATTTACAACTTGACAATTTGTGACGTTCATTCCACCTATATAGGAAATTCTTGATAAACAATAAGAAAAATATATTATTTGGTTTAGGGAATCCCATAGATTATGGAATTACCTACTATGCTATCACTAAAGTAAATAGTGACAAAAAGATAAAAAAAGCAAGAAAGTGAAGTCTAAAAGCACGACTCTACCAATACAAGAAACCTATCCTACCTTTGGATGAACTGCAAGTGCCACATCACCAAATAAGGTCTCTGGTCTGGTTGTAGCAACAGTCAAGTAGTCACTCCTACATATGAATAATCATTAAAATATCAAAACTAACAGTAATAAAAACCCACAATGTGCACCCACATACAAAAAATGAATCTCAATTTAAAAATTTGATAATAAAATAATCAAATTTGAATGAACAAATGATACCAATTTATGGTCATCACTACTATAAGACAGTGATTCAAATGGCCTCTGAAAAGAGAATCTTGTTAAGAGTTATAGCTATGCTGCCCCACAAATTTATGGGAAAGCACATTCTGATTGAATGAGACATAATAGGACAAACCCTCACCGTATACAACATGAGATATGGTATGAGACCATTCCTTTTTCCAAGAAGAAATCTTCTTAGGGGACAGAATATGGACAACTACAGAGGACATGACAACTATAAAACACAAGATGTGGTATGAGGCCATTCATTTTTCAGACATGACATATATCCAATACAGACACACCAAGGACATGCTTTGATATGTATCTAAGCCATGTCTACAAAATTTTTCCCAAGCCCAAGTAAAGGAGGAGGGTTGTGTTAGGCCTTTGGCAGCCAACATAAAACTTGTCAAAACCTTTTATATGGATTACACACGACAACATTGTGTTAGTGCTAGATCATTACCCAGAAGTAACACATTGAATGGCTCGAGAACAGTGTCAAATGAGCTAGAGTTGTTGCATCAGCGCCTGGATGCAGTGTTAAATGAGTAAGGGTCCTCACATTTGACTAGACAAATGTAGATAAAGAAATTAGTTCAAAAACACGTGTTTAAGTTTGGTTCATGAAATATTGGTACTTTGACAGGAAAGTCATTGGAAGTGGTGGACATTATGATTCATAGAACGATTAACATCATGTACCTTCAAGAAACAAAATGGGTTGGAAATAAGGCTAAAAAGCTCGATTCTACATGTTTCAAACTTCAATACACAAGAAAAATCAAGAAAAGAACTGAGTAGGCATAATTATGGATAATAGTTGGAAGAAGAATGGACTACGCATAATTATGGATAATAGTTGGAAAAGAAATTTAATAAAGATCAAAAGAATTGGAGATAAGATCATGTTCTTGAAGTTATTGGTTGCACAAGATACTATTAATATCATCTGTGCTTATGCTCCACAAGTTGGCTCAGAAGCCTATTTGAAACATAAGTTTTGGGAGGATTTAGAGGGGTTGATCCAAGTCATCCCACAAACTGAAAAGAATTTTATAGGCTGGGACTTTAATGGATATGTTGGTTTTGAAGCAAGACAATTTGCAAGGGCTCAAGCTAGTTTTGGTTTTGGGTAGTAAAATGAGGAAGAACAATTTATCATTGATTTTTAATGTCCTATGACTTTAAGATTATGAACACTAGTTTTAAGAAGAGAATGGAACATCTCATCACTTTTAAGAGCAGAGGTTTAAGGTCTCAAATCGATTTTTAAATGAATTTGCAAGGATTATTAAGTGATTCCAGGAGAGAGCCTTACTGCACAACATAAGTTCTTGGTCCTTGATGTTCATTTTAAGAATGGTAAACAAGAATTTGACAAGTTCATGTTTCAAGAATTAAGTGGTTGCTACTTAAAGGTAAGAAATTTTTGGACTCTCCAAGACAGTTAATTGAAAAAGGTAGTTGGTTGACACATGGTAATGCTAATATCATTCAGGACAATATGGCTACCAAGGTCAGAAAAGTTGCTAAGAAAATTTTAGGTCAATCTAGAGGTTTTGGACCGAAAGACAAAAGATCATGATAGTAGAATGAAAGTATGCAAGAGAATATTAGAGATAAGAGAATGTATTTTAAAACTTTGCATACATGTAATAATGTTGAAAATTGGACAAACTATCTTAAAGCAAGAAATGAGACAAGAAAAGTAGTGAGTGAAAAGCGTTTTAAGACTTTTGAAGGGTTCAATCAAGATCTTGGGACAAAGTATGGTAAAAGGATAATTTATAAATTTGCCATAAGTAGAGAAAGAAAATCTAAAGATTTAGATTAAATTAGATGTATTAAGGATGAAGAAGGAAAAGTTTTAGTTTCAAATCAAAATATTAAAGACCGATGAGAGAAATATTTCTATAAACTTTTTAACGAGGGACAAGGAGTAAGTGAAAATTTAGCAAAATTAGAAGTCAGGCAAATGATTTAAATTTGACATCTAAATTTGACAAAAGGTGATTGAACATAAAGTAGGTAAGAAACTGAGATTGCAAAAAACCAATTTGGTTTTATGCCAAAAAGTCTACAACAGAAGCTATATATCTTTTGCAGATAATAAAAAATTATTGCTACAAAAAAAAAAAGATTTATTGGCTCAAAATAAGAAATATGATCAGGTACCAAGAGAAATGTTATGGAAAGCTTTAGAAAAAAAAGGAGCGCGTGTAACATATATTCTACCTATACAAGACATGTATGAGCAAATAACTACATGTGTAAAAACTTCTAAAGGCATATCTAAGGACTTCCCAATTGGAATAGATTTACATCAAGACTCCATGTTGAGCCCTTACTTGTTTAATCTAGTCTTAGATGTTGTTAAAAATGACATACAAGAGATTATCTCTCAATGCATATTCTTTGCATATGATAGTATTGGCTGAGGATTCAAAAGAAGAAGTTAAGGTTAAACTTGAGTCTACAAAATGATGGAAAAATTAATGAAGATATTAATCATAGATACAAGCTAGGTGGTTAAAGTGGAGAAAGGCATCAGGAGTTATTTGTGACCGTTAAACATATATCAAATTAGAAGGAAAGTTTTATTGTACTACAATACAACTAATTATCCTATATTATAGTAAATATTGGGCCTTAAAGGAACAACACGAGAAAAAAGTGAAAGTGGCAAAAATAATAATGCTAAGGTGGATGATTGGACACACGAGAAAGGATAGGATACAAAATGATAGTATACGAGAGAATATTGGAGTAGCACCTATAGTGAAAAAGATGATGAAAATCTTTTAAGGTGATTTTGTCATGTGCAAAGAAAACAAATTTTAGGCGCCAATAAGGAGAGTGGATTGCATAACTCTTAATAAAGAGGGGTCAAGGGAGACCTAAAAGAATCTTAGATGAATATACAAAAGAAACCTTTTGACTAATCAGATTTCTGAAAATTTGGTTTTTCACCGAACTCCATGGCATCAAATGATCTATGTAGCCAACCTCACTTAGTTAGATAAGGCTTGGTTATTGGTATTATACCATAAGTTTCCAATTTCAAATGCTTGGGACCGATTATACTATTAAGAAACTTGGGCCTAACTCACTCCCAAAAGCTAGCTCATAGGAGGACTACCCTAAAAAGTATTCTGACTCTATTCCTAACCAATGTGGGACATCTTAACACGCCCCCTTCACATCAGGGACTAGACATCTGATGCATGAAATTTACAGAACTAGACATCTACATGGGTGAACCTAGCAGGACTAGACATCTGTAGGCAGCCCAATGTTCAAATTGAATAGGCTCTGATACCATGTTAAGATGAGAGAAAACAAGAAGGTGTGAGAGAAATTCCATGTACACAATTTCAGCATATGTATGTGTGTAACTTAATTTATATGGGTATATTTATAATGCCTAAAATAGCAGTCATCCTGCTATCCGCTATCCCACCATAGCATTTTTTGGGTCAGCCGCTTCACGCCACTATCCGAAATTAACTATTATAGTACCTATTAAGCTGAAAGGAAAGTTTTATTGTACTACAATATGACCAACTACCCTATATAGTAATAAACGTTGAGGCTTAAAAGAACAACACAAGAAAAAAGTGGGAGTGGCGAATATAAGAATGCTAAGGTGGATAAGTGGATACATGAGAAAGGAGAGGATATAAAATGATAATATACAAAAGAATAGTAATTAAAAAGATGACTAAATATTGTCTAAAATGGTTCAATCATGTGCAAAGAAGACTTCTAGATGGGCCAGTAAGGAAAGTGCATTGCATGACTCTTAGTTTAAAAAAGAGGAGTCGAAAGAGACCCAAAAGAACCTTAGACAAAAGTTATCAAAGGAGACATTTTAATTAAAATTTAGTTTTTGTCCGAGTTTATGGCGCTGTGTGTTCCATGTAGCCGATCTTACCTAGTGAGATAAGGCTTGTTTGATGTTGTATTGTCAAACATACTACATAGTACATACACAAATAGACACACAATTGTTTGTCATGGTTTCTTATATAATCTATTTATATAGATTTCATTTTTTCTTTCCAAATAGAAGTAGATTTCATTTAAAGAAGGGAAAGTAAAATCAAGAATAGAAAAGATGCAAAGTGTTAAGATGTCCCACATTGACTAAGACTAGAGTCAAAATACTCCTTATAAAGGCTAGGGTAGTCCTCCTCTTATGAGTTAACTTTTAGGAATAAGTTAAGCCCAAGTTTCTTAACAAAAAGAAACAGAACAAAATTCAAAAAGAAGCACGTTAGATAATTGTTTCACTTAAGGATTCTTGCAATTGAAACGTCTGCAGGTTGTTCATGTAGAATGATAATATCTCTAAATGAGGTTATGACCATCACTATTCATGTATGGGTTAAACAAAATAGTCCAAATGCTACTTTAGATTTGAAGTAGACAAGGACAAGCTATCCCACTATAATGGCTTAAGATGAAAAATATATGTAGTTATAGTATAAAAAAGTTTATCTTTGTAATTAATTTAATTCGGTAACTGGATATTCTGAAATTATTTTGCAATTATTATTATTACCAATATAAATATATGTTCCATTGGTAGTTGAGACACAGATTCATCCACATGTTCTCTCACTTTTCTCTCTTTCAACATGATATCTAGAGTCTAATGAGAAACTAACCCTAAGTGTTCACCTACTTTCAACATGGTAAAAAATTTTATCAGAAACTAACTTTCATCTCCAGTTTCTGGTCTTCTCTGCATACTTTCACCATCAATGCAATGTTCCAATGACTTTTCCAATGTCCTTTCTAGCCAACGATCATGTGATCTGAACTGCCTCTCCATTCACAACCCAATGCCAGTTCAATCAAAGCTCTAACGTGCCCTTATGTGCTGCAAAATTGTAGCATGACCAACCCTGTCTAGCCACCACCTCCACCACATGTGACAGTGTTTTTCTGGCTGTTGTCAACAGCAATGGTGTTGCCCTTCCCTTTTTCCAGATTTGTGGTTGGTTTGCTTGTTTTTTGCTTCCTACAGCCACTGCTGTTTGGCATTTTTGGAACTGTTCACATTAGTTTTTGTTACCTCTATGCCGACCCATGGCCTAGAAGACACCCCAAAAGGCTGAACAACACATCTTAACTATTATGTCATAGCCTTGTTCTCAACAGATAAGTTGGATAGGAGAAACTATTGTAAATTGGCTTCAAACATCAAACTTTGGCTTAAGGGTCAAGATTACATTGATTATTTTACTACAAAGGAGGAGTCCATTGCTACTGCTGTCTGCTGAACGTTCCAAATGGAGCAAAACTGATGCATAGCTCAGTAACGTCATCAAATCTACCATTCATCCCTCTTTGAAGCAGATCTTTTGACCTCATGAGACTTGTGAGCATGTTTAGTCATAGGCTGAAGCCTTGTACACAAATGACACTTAGTACCTTTATGGAGTTTGTCAAAATCTCATGAATGTATTTGCTCCTCAATGATTTGATGGCCCCATGTCTAAATATTTGGAAAGAGTGACCAGCATTCTTCATGACTTGAATGAAGTCATGCCTCTTGCTGATCCACTGGTACTCGCTATGTTATTAGTTCTAGATGGCTTGTCTGCAGATTATTTTGTCATTCATGATTAGATTTTGGATTCGTCTACTATGTCAACCGACTCATGAGCTAGGTTTAGTCCATCATGAGATAAGTTAGTTTTACTTACTAATGATAGTGTCACAATAGTAATTCAACCTAATACAAGACAAACCATTGATTTGCACAATTGGTCCTCACACTTAGTTGGAAAGCCAGATGTTCAAAACTATCGTGTTAGATTATGACCGAATGTTTCTAGGTCAGAATCTGAACTAGAGACGATGGTGTGCCTATTGTCTGTTATTGTCTTGGCCCCCTAGAGCCATGCCATTGGTGAACCTTATAAGACAAATGAAAATTTCAAAACACCTTGAAGTGCAATTCTTATAGAGCAACAGGTAAAATCTTTTGAAAACAACTTAAATACGCGACAAGATATTGTAAATAGTAGAGTGGCCTTACTGCCACAATCCACTGAAATTCAACTCGTCGCATCAATTTGTAAAAAAAATGTATGAAGTTCAAAGAAAAAAAAATATTTTTATTAATTAGATTTCTAAAAACATAGTATTTTACCGAGCTCAATGGCATTATGTGATCTATGTAACCAACTTCACCTTCGGTATAAGGCTTGGTTGTTATTGTATTGTCACAAGAAACAAAGTATAGTTGCTCGTTCAAGTGCAAAAGCAAAATATCGAACCATGACTTCAGTTACATAAGAACCTATTTGGTTGAAACAACTACTTAAAGAATTGAGATTAGAAGAAATTATGAAAACAAAACTTATTTGTAATAACCAAGCAGCCCTACATATTGTCTCTAACCCAATGTTTCATGAAAGAATAAAGCATATTGAAATAGATAGTTATTTTATTAAGGAGATCTTATCTGAACAAAACACATCACCACTAACTTTGTCAATTTGAATGATCAACTGGCAAATGTCTTCACCAAATACTTGAGAGGTCCTTGTATTAGTTATATATGTGATAAAATTTGTGCATATGACTTATATGCTCCAACTTGAGGGAAAGTGTTAAATATATGTAATTCTATTAATAAAGAAGTTTATCTTTATAATTATATTAATAACATAACTGAATATTCTGTAATTATTATTATTACCAATATAAATGTTAAGATGTCCCACATTGGTTAGGAATAGAGCCAGAATACTCCTTATAAGGACTAAGGCAGCTCTCCTCCTATGAGCTAGCTTTTTAGAGTGAGTGAGGCCCAAGTTTCTTAACATAGTATCAAAGCCTATTCAGTTTGAACATTGGGCTGCCCACAGATGTCCAGTCCTGTTGGGTCCACCTATGCAGATGTCCAATCCTGCAAATTTCACGCACCAAATGTCTAGTCTTGGGCGTGAGGGGGGTGTGTTAAGATGTCTCACATTAGTTAGAAATAGAACCAAAATACTCCTTATAAGGACTAGGGCAGCCCTCCTCCTATGAGCTAACTTTTGGGAGTGGGTTAGGCCCAAGTTTCTTAATAGTAAATATATGTTTTGCTGTGTGTGTAGTTAGACGTAGATTCATTCACATGTTCTCTCACTTTGTACAACTTGGATTACTAAATTATCGAGATAAACAACAGAAATGTTAGCAACAAACTTTACTTTTGGGTGAAATCCACGCTGGACCCACTAATAGAGAGATGGCCCAGGTTATTAAGTGGGATTCATATGGAATTTGGTACAGCCACAATCCTAGGCTCAAGTTACAGGTTTATTCCAGGATACTTAGGAATTAAAATAAAATTTGTTGTGTGGCAGTTATTGGAGTAGGGCAGCAGGCAGTTATGCATTCAGAATGTAATGTGTATGCATGACTGTTACAAGAGTAGGTAGTTACATGTTCAAAAGATAGTGTAATTTTTGTGTGAATGACAGTTGTGGTAATATTTCTTCTTCTGGGACAGAGATTGTACTCTATAGAAGCTTCTGAAACTCTCAGACAGCAAGATAAATTGTTGTATCTGTGTGATTTAATACAATTACTATCAATTGATCAATAGTGTTCTATCTGAATTTCACCCAATACATAAAGAAATGTTGAAAAGAAAGTGTAACTAACATTCCCTCTCACTAATAACCAAGATACGCAAAAGTGGGAAAAAAAAGTCATGATTTTAACACAGCAACAATTCATTTAAGCATCCCTTAAGTCTTCTATAGCATTTTTCAATGTATACTTCCCATCTATCTGATTATGCCTCGTTAATGGAGAAAACACAGAGATAAACACAAATGAATTTGAGTACAAATTCTAATTCGGAAAATTAGCTTGAGGCTTGAGGCTAGAGCACATAACAAAATAGGGTTAATTAAGGTTGCCTAAATTTAAAATATTGCTAGACAAAACAATTTCTAACTGTCCTTTCTATTTCTAATAAGAACTCCTTATAGGAGAAAATATGTAAAAACCAGAATGTCAACAATCCTCCTAGAGCCGAGAAGAATACAATAAAGAAAGTAGAATACAAAAACAAGAATAAAAGGGAGGGGGGATTTAATGGAGCAGCCACTTTGCACATCAGACAAGAAAAACTACAAAATTTTAAAAATTAAGGATTGTTAAATGCATGGAAGTATTGGCTTTCAAAAGTCAGACAACATAGGCATCATAAACAAGAGGTCCCACAATATGGATCACAATTCCCAAGTTAATTAAATTTATACAAATTTCAGGAAAGGTGAAATCTGCCCACCCAAACCAAATGACACAAATTTGATTGCAAATGCCGGTCTAATACTCTAATTACACACAAATTAAATATACCTTTAAATTTGAATGAACATCATATCAAAACATGAACTTAAAGGCTCTTCAAACAGTAATTTAAAAAAGCATCCACTATGTACCTTCCAGCAACACGATACTTGATATAATACAAATATCCTGACTCTTCTGAATATTCAACTTCCTAAGCATAAAAGGAAAGGTTCAATCCAAACATTGGCAAACCAATTAAGTAGTAAAGACTAACAAGAGTACTGTCCAACTCAAATTAAAAAGTTACTTACCAAGTCAGAAACAGCAGTTTGCAGAGCAGGTGACCAGTTAACCATATATGAACCTGAAGTGGAAGCCAAAGAGATTTTACATCATACACCTTTGATAATGTATAAAGTGTGAACATAACATACATAAAATTTAACATTTAACAGGTGCTGAACTGAACACATAAAGGATCATCTAAGATACTCTAAAATACTCTAAATTACAATAAAGATATTATTGGTAGAAACCTGGTAGTTTTGTTAGGAAGAATGGAGAGAGAACTATACAATTCACAGAACACATACACTACAGAACTTTAAGGGTCTGCACCCCTTAATGCCAAAAGACCCTAATTTCCTCTCACCAATCACAAGATGATCTCCTTTCCTCTCTTCTATTATATTTATACATGTCATAGCTTTCACTAATTGTAACAACTAACTAACTGCAGATTGTAACTAACTAATGGGTATCTATCAATACTCCCCTTGTAGAGTTTCCTGTCCCCAAGTTGAATGGAATAGATAAACAAAAACAGTTCACTTGGGTCCCGTTGTCCGAAGTATGTATGAAACCTTACTCCATTGTCACCTGAAAATAGCCTTAGCCCTTCTGGGTCAAACACCAAAAGGTGGATGCCTACATGCTCCTTTAGTATTCTTTTTTTTGTGATATATTTGGATTTGGCCCTGATATAGAACATCAGAGGCAATTATACTGATATCCATAGCTCTTTGATGAACTGCTTTACTACATGTTATGAATAGCTATAATAGACTTATTAGGATTAAGGTTTATGTTAGTATTATAATAACGGGCTTGGCCCAATAAAGTTACATATGTATCCTTATAAGTATAAGGATCTCTACACATTGTAGAGCATCCAATTCCAGCATACTAATCTGTCTCTCTCTCTATGTTCTCTTTTTCTCTTAATTCTACATGGTATCAAAAACCTCCTAATGTTCCTCCTTCTTCACCACCGCCGCTGCTGCCGCCACCACCACCACAAAAAAAAATAGCAGCTTCAGAAAAGGCTGACCATGGCTGCTGTGGAGATGAAAATTTTTTCCAGTGACCAGAATAAGCAATAATTCGAACTTTACAGTTTGAGTGCAGCGTTTCTTTCTAGCCATTCAGACGAAACCCAGGCAGTTCCATCACTGTTTGTGGATATATAATGTCTGAATGTGATAGCCAAAATTGCAGGATGCACAACACAAGGAGGCTATTATAAAGATCGTATCTCTATCCAAACTTACCAATGTTAAGCTGAATGAAGATTGTACAAACTATATGGAGTGGAAGTATTTGGTTGAGATTAGCCTGGGTGGAATAATAAAGGATAATCATTTGACTGAAACAGCACCTATCAATCCTAAGGATGTTGACACATGGACGATACGCGACAAAAAGATTCTTGCGTTGCTAATAAACTCTATTGATAGGCAAATACAAGTGATTATTACCCATTACAAAACTATGAAAGAGTTGTAGGACTTCTTGCAATTTATTTTTGAGAAATCTGATAATTTGAATCAGTTGTATGCTCTCTTGTAGGAAATTTATCAACCCAAACAAAATAAACGAAAGCTAATGGACTATTTTTTGGAGTTTAAGAAGCATACTAAGGAGATACAATCTCCTTTAGCCTACAAAATCATTGACACTCTAAGTTGGCTCTCAAGACTTGATTTGGAATATGAGGTAGTTTGGTCTCAAATTTTGTCAAGTAAGCAGGTTGATAATATTATTGATGTCTTCTCCAGAGTTATGCAGTCTTCCTTTGAGAAACTCCAAAAACACTACAAATAATGAGTCTCCTGACCACTCTGCCTTGACAACCCAATACGGTCACCATGGTGGTCGCAATGGTGGGAGAGGTGGTAGAGGCAGTCATGGCCGTGGGCGTAGTGGAGGTCATGGTATTGTACAGTACTACAACTATGGCGAATTTGGTCATTATCGGAATCAATACACTCATCCTCCATAGAATCAGTCATTTTCTCACTCATAAGGTAATTCCCGCTTTGCTAACTCGGTATCTCAGTCTGACACAGGTACTTAGGAGAAAGAAGGATGCAATGTGCGCATGAGTTATGAGAAATTTATTCAGTATACTCAATTTCAGATTTTTCAACAATTGTCTACATCCTCTACAGCCACTTTTGTACAAAAAGGTAATCCTACTACATGTCTTTCCTCTTCTTCCAAGCATTGGGTCATTAATTCTAGTACTACTGATCATATGACTGGGGATTCAGTATCCTTTCTTCTTTTTTTCTACCCAATTCTCATTCTTCTTTAACACTTACTGATGGTTCTAGTGTCCATATTAAGGACAACGGGTGTATCACTCCAGTTTCAACCTTACCTTTATCCTCTATTTTATATTTACCTCAATTTTCCTTAAATTTATTGTCCATTAACCAAATCACTTTATCATTAAATTGCTCAGAAACATTCTTTTCTGATCCTTGTATTTTTCAAGATCTAGTGACACAAAGGATTATGTATAGAGGTAGAGTATCTAATGGGTTGTATCTATTAAAGAAGGACTTCCGCAAACTTCTATTGCTTATAGGAATAAAGAAATGCCTCCTTTCCAACTTCATTGTCGTCTAGGTCATCGTCTTTAGGAGTTCATCGGAAATTATGTCCTAGTATAGAATCTAATGTTTATTGAGTCATGTCAGTTTGTTAAACATTATCGCAATGTTTATTTACCTTGTTTAAATAAAAAGACTCATGCTCCCTTTGAAATTGTGCATTCTACTGTTTGAAGTCCTTGTCCAGTTACTTCTAAATCAGGTTTTAAACATTTTTTAACCTTTGTGGATGATTATTCTTGTGAAACATGATTGTTTTTGATAAAATCCATATATGAAGTTTTTTCTATATTCTATAATTTCCGTGCTGAAATTAAAACTCAATTTAATACCTGTGTGCATTCTTAGAAGTGATAATGTTAAAGAATATTTTTCTGCATCCTTCACTAGTTTTATAAATAAACATGGCCTACTTCATCAGTCCTCTAATATTATTATCCCACAACAAAATGAAGTAGCTGAATGTAAAAATCGTCATCTTATGAAAGTAGCATGTGCTTTAATGTTTGAAATGAAAGTTTCTAAACCTTTTTGAGCTGATATTGTTCTTACTGCTGCATATTTAACTAATCGCATATCATCATCTATGTTACATGGTGAGATTCTCCATTCTATACTTTTCCAATCATAATCTCTTTTTTCTTTACCTTCTAAAGTTTTTTGCTGCACTTGTTTTGTGTTTGATGTTTGTTCTCAAGTAACTAAACTTGATCCAAAGTCCCTAAATGTGTGTTTTTGAGTTATTCTCGGTCACAAAAAGGTTACTGTTGTTTTTCTCCTGATTTTGATCGTTATCTTATTTCCTATGATGTGTCTTTCTTTAAAAGTCTTCCATTCTTTAAGTCTTCATCTTCTGAGTCCATGTATGAGATAGATGAACCTTTCTTAACTTATACTTTTGTCCAATCTACACATCTTGTTGCACCTCTAGCTCCTATTAATACAGGTTTCAAGTTCTTTGAGTAAACATACTCTTGTCGGCTGAAACAGCTTCAAATGATGTGGCCCCTGTGGCTAATGATATTCAAGATGATACTCAACGTCTACCATTATCTCCTCAAATGTCAACAAATCATATGTCTAACCTTGACCTTTCTATTGCTATCTGTAAAAGTAAGAGATCTTGCACCTATCCATTTCATCTTATGTGACGTCTGCTCATTTATCCTCTACATCTAAATCCTTCATGGTTGGTGTACTCTTTTTCTGTTCCTAAGACCCTTGTCGATGCCCTCAATCATGCTAGTTAGAGACACGCTATGGAGAAAGAAATATTGGCTCTTGAGACGAATGATACTTGGGATCTGATTCCTCTTCCCAAGGAAAAACAGGCTATTGGTTGCAACTTGCAAGTGGGTTTACACTGTGAAAGTTAATCCAGATGGTTCTGTGACTCTTTAAAGGCATGACTTATTGCAAAAAGGTATGCCCAAACTTATGGCGTTGACTACACTGATACGTTTTCTCCGGTTGCTAAACTCTCATCTGTTCGCATTTTCATCTCTCTTGCGGCTATGCATCATTGGCCATTATTCCAGTTAGATATCAAGAATGCATTTTTACATGGAGACTTACAAGAGGAGGTGTACATCGAGCAATCACCTGACTTTGTTGCTCAAAGAGAGTGTGGAAAAGTGTGTTGTTTAAAGAAGTCATTATATGGCTTGAAACAATCACTTAGAACATGGTTTGGAAGATTCAGTGACATGATTCTAAAATTTAGATTAGTGAGAAGTGAGAGTGATCATACAATGTTTTACAAATAGACTAACCATGGTTGTATTTTACTTGTTTATATTGATAATATTGTTATTACAGGTAGCGACAAAGAAGAAATCAACAACCTAAGAAAATTTCTTCAAACTAAGTTTTAAACAAAAGACTTAGGAATTCTAAAATACTTCTTGGGTATTGAAGTCATGTATTCCAAGCAAGGAATCTTCCTTTCACAGAGAAAATATGTCTTAGACTTATTGACTGAGATCGGACTAAAAAGAGCTAAACCATGTGAGACAGACACATATGGAGCCAAGAGTGAAACTGACAGCAGATAGAGTTCTTTTTGCAGATTCACAAAAATACAGAAAATTAGTAAGCAAGCTAAATTAATTAACTGTCACAAGGCTGAATATTGCTTTTCCAGTGAATGTTGTTAGCCAATTTATGTAATCTCTAACGGATACTCATTGGGAAGCACTAATCCGCATTGTGAAGTATTTGAAGAAAGCACCAGGAAAAGGAATTGTGTACAAAGATCATGGATATGCATAAATAAAGACGTTTTCTAATGTTGATTCGGCAGAATCAATGGCCAGAAAATCTACTACCAGATACTGTGTGTTCTTGGGAAGTAATTTAATTTCGTGAAAAAATAAGAAGTAGAACGTCGTATTGAGATCGAGTGCGGAATCAAAATACAGGGTGATGGCTCATACTACTTGTGAGTTAATGTGGTTGAAACATATGTTGAAACAGATAGGATTTGATAGCACTAAGCCTATGCAACTTTAGTGTGATAATCAGGTAGCGATACACATTGCCTCAAATCAAGTTTTTCATGAACGGACGAAACAAATTGAGATAGACTATCAGAAAAAGTTCAGCAAAAGCTTATATCCATCTTTCATGTTAGGATAGGCGATGAACTAGCAGATGTGTTTGCAAAGGCTTTAAATGGGACACGTAATAATTATATTTGTAACAAGCTAGGCATAATTAATATCTATGCTCCAGCTTAACGGAGAATGTTATGAATAGCTATAATAGACTTATTAAAATTTGGATTTATGTTAGTATTATAATAACGGGCTTGGCCCAGTAGGATTACATATGTATCCTTATAAATATAAGGGTTTTTACACATTGTAGAGCATCCAATTCCAGCACACTAATTTGTCTCTCCCTCTATATGCTCTCTCTCTTAATTCTACACTACACATGGTTGCAGCTAATGATTATCATGATTCTTGATCCTCCACCTAATTTTGCTCCTGTGCTAGGTTGATTGTATTACACATAACCTCCATTGTGGCCATTGGATTAGTCCTTAGCTCTCTATCATAAGGCTTTCCTCAACTTTCCCCTCCTCCTTGCATCCCAAAACCAGACCCATCCCTGTGCCTCTCTGTCACTATTGATTCTTAATCTCAAGAACTTCATTTTTTTGCTTTCTATTTTCTTATTCTTTGTCCAAAATGTTGTTGGGTGGGGTTTCTACCAATTCTTGTAGCTTTCCTTTATTTGTTTCTTGCTCTTGAGCCACTACTTCTATTATCTCCAAAGTCCAAACTTTCAATTTTTGTTCCATTTTTTGGCTCCTAAGATTCTATTTCCCCATTTCAATTATGATTCTTGATTTTCATCCCTTCATTTTCTTGCTCGTCATCTTCGACCCAAATTGGTAGATCCAGATCATACTCTGGCAGGAACTCCTTGAGCAAAGCCTTCACAAAGTTCCACCATGAGGCACTTGGATGGTCCTCTTTCCACGAAAACCACCAAACAAAAGCACATCCTCACATAGCCTTTCCAATCTTTTGTATTTTCTCTTGCTTAAGTATTGCAGGGGCGTCAAAGTGCTGCTCCACATTGATCAGCCACCAACAGGCTTCTTCCCCTTCAAATCAAATTCTGAAATCATCTTCAAGAACTCAGTACCCACAACTCCAAGATCAGAGATTTTATACCAATTAATAGGAACCAGTACCATGATTGAAAGAAAGAAAGATATCATTGAAATGAACCCTAATTCTCAAATCTGACCCATTCTATATCTTCCCTGTTTCTCTCTTTCTCAACAGGTTAATTTAGATATAATTATAACAAAAATGAGTTAATCTAATTAAATATATTATTATATTCTGAAAAACAAAAATAATCACCTTAGGGTAATTAGCCTTCAATATAAATTAAGAATTAATATAAGACCTATTTTAGTTAAGTTCATCAATTCTAATCTACAATGAAACTAATTTCTTGAAGTTTGTTAGAATTTGAATTCATTTATTTTAAATTAATTGTTTTTAATTTCTTTGCCCTTTCAATTTTTACTTTATTTCATATTACTAGTTGGTTGTGTTTAGATATTTAAATTGTAATTATTTAATACTTAAAAGCACAGTCCATGTAGATTCGACAACTTTTTATATTACTTGCAATAACTGTGCACTTGCAGCTCTATCAATACTTTCTATAATTTTAAGATATAATATTTGATATTATGAGATATTCCAATAACCATAATGTAATTTCAGTTTATACCTTGATAAATCAAACCTTTCTCATGAAGTCTAACAAATGCCTCAACTACAGCTTCTGCAGAAATTATAAGGTATCAGTATAGGTTACAGCACAAGTAAACAAATGTTTACGATAAAATAAAACAGATGCAAATTTACATTAATGAGACAAATTCAGACAAATTTATCAGACATTGGAAACTAAAAAGAATAGCAGAAAATAGAAAGTGCTATCAAAACTACATCAATAATAATATTTACTATCTCATTTTTATCATCATAAATTTTACATGTGCCCATACAGTTTCTAGGTTAGTTAGAGTTCCAATGAGTAGAAAACTATCTTACGACTTAGCTGTTCATCAAGGGTAAAGTGCTCTCTAGACCAATCACAAGAAGCACCAAGTCTCTTGATCTGATTTGCGATAGTTCCACCATATCTAAATGATGTAAACAAATATTATGAGAAGAGAAGTTAACAATATATCAACTAATAAACAGCACAAAGAAATTGTAACTCTAATTTCGCATCTACAAATAATATTTTAAACATAGGCAACAGCTAGTTCTGGAAAATGCAGAACATTTTTTATTTATCCTGTTCATTATTATTGATTTTCTTATATTCATTTATCTTTCTATGTTTCCTAGCTACCTTAATTGGGATAGAAGATTGCTGGATCAGATTTTAATCACTTAGAATCTGGGATTCTTATTTCTGTATTTCTGCATAGCCAATACCCGTATATATTTGTAATTGTAAATCTGAGAATCTCAGCAATCAATAATAAAAGTTGCAATTCAAGTATTTCAAGTCAAAGAAGTCATTATCAATATGTTGGGATCCAATTGCAAGGTATGAGAATTGAGTCCCACATTGGAAGTATGGGATTCTAATGTGGGGTTTATAAGGCCTTGGGCTCTCCAAGTACAACAGCTAGCTTTTGTTGTGTGGTTCTCCCAAGGTTTTAAAGAGCTTCTCTGGTTCATTTCTATTCCTCAGCATTCAGCAACCGTTTCTGTTCAAACCAAATAAGAGCTTTGAATGTAAACCTAACTACTATAGTACTATATATTCAATAAAATTTCACATATTTCTTTGGCAGATAAACGGTTATGGTACATTCCTCTATGACTATATTATGGAAGCAGGGAACTAGGTTATTTGGAGAAAGTATAGTTTAGAAATAGAGCAAAAAGAACAACCCAAAGATAACTTTTTTTAGATGACTCTCTAATCCTCTATCATTTATCCTCTCTATATAAATCATAAATCTAAGATTTTACTATGTTCCAAATTATAAGCTCTAGTAATTATTACTTAAATAATAGAAAACGTGACCTTTAGTCCCCTTTACCTTCTTTAATATGGGCAATCCATTGCCTGTGCAAAACAAAAATGTAGACGGAAGAAGATAAACAAAGACATGAAGACATACTTCTCTTTCCACTGCCAAACCCTTTTTGTAAATTCATCTCTACTCATTTCAGTCCTTTTCATTCCTTCAGAAGCTAGCATTCTTTCAACAACCAACTGGTAGAAAGAGAACAAAATTAAGAGTGGAAAACTAAGATACTCAACTGAAAGAAGTAAGGAAAAAAAGCAAGAAACATAAAATTCTGTATAACAAAATAAAACCGCATGGTAAGAGACTGCAAAACAATTGATACGTTGAATGACATAATTAAAGCAAACCTTGCAGAAGATGAAATGGGGAAAGGGAAAACTAGGAAAACAGAAAGGCATTTAAAATTAAAAATAGAGTTGCAGTGTAGGGAAAAGTCGTATAGACAATGTTATTCTATAATAACTCACCAGGCATAAAATTTAAAGATTCTAGCCCTAGAATCTATTTAGAATTTGGGATTTTATTTGAGCTTCCAGTTTTATTATCTTGGAACAAGCTCTGCTACCATATTAGAATTTGGGTGTTGATTGAAGATTGATCAAATTTTAATATTGAGAAGCAAAATTAAACCATGCTAGCATGACACATTTCCTCGGTTTCTTTTCTTCAATAAAATAGTTTAAAGGAAGAGCAAAAGAGAAGCAAAGGGATGTTGAGAGAGATGAGAGAAACAAGAGGCATAGGATGAATCCATGTGTCTAAATACACAGATGAGTTAATTATTTATATTGAGAGAACAGTAAATACATGATCTACAATTATGTAGAATCATGCTAATTATCTTATTTCTATAATTAAATAACTTCACTATTTACAAAATTACCCTGCATTATATATATCATTTACAACAAGGGAATCCAATCAGAAAATAAACCCAAACAGAGACATTAGAAAATTCTATGGCAAACCCACTATTTGCAGCAAATTCACAAAAACTACTCTGAAGTCTATGGACAAATCATAATTCGCAGCAAATTCAGGATGCAGACTCCAAGCAATTCAAACATTTAATATAAATAAAATAATGCTCACGTTTTCTGGTAGGTAATCAGATCTATGTGAAAACATCTGGAGTACTACTAACAGATAGATGGACAGACACGCCCACACACACACATATACATATTAATATATACTTTACAGACAGAGAGAGAAGTAAAATAAGTAACAAAAACTGGTATAACAATTGACAAACCTGAGTTGCAATTCCAGCATGATCAGTCCCTGGAAGCCAAAGTGTTGGCCTTCCCTTCATGCGGTTGTACCTAACCATAATATCCTGCATGGATACATCAATAAGCATGATAATAAATACATTACACACATAAATCTTCTGTTGTAAAAAGTTAACAAAAAACCCAAAATTCAATAACACTTAACAAAGTGCATTGTTGATATATGATAAACATCATCATCATATGGTCAAAAAACCAGAGAAAAACATAGAAAGGGAAGGAAAAAGATGATAACGTTTTTTCTTACTTTCCCAATGTGATAAACTCCCTGTGCACATAAGTAATGAGCAACTAACTGTCAAAAACTTATGACTTGAAAAAGATGAATAAGTTGCACCAGCAATTCAGTGTTATAATTATAGTGGGAAATCACGTGGAAGGAAAAAAAATTGAACCTTAGCAATATGGAAATACAGAAAGCATTACAAATTCAAACATGCAAGCCTCAAATGGTACAAATCTACTCACAAGTCATAACAACACTATATAGGTATCTTGCCATTTCCATTCAAAAACATTTCACATATATGGTGCATCTTAATGCATAAACATAACATGCCACGCTCCACAGAACACATAAATAGCAATAACATACATGAAATAGAGAAAAAAGAAAAAAGGGAAACCTCAAGGGTCACAAACATGGCATGCCCCATGTGCAGAGAACCAGTAACATTAGGAGGCGGCATTGATATCACAAAAGGATCATTTCCTCGGTCAAAGTTCGGCCTGAAGTACCCTTGAGACTCCCACCTAGCATCCAATAATTGCAATTAAAACATAACTTACAAGGGAAACCAAAAATGAATTATGAATTGAAAATGATGATCCATGCACCAAAACAGCATAGAGTAATGCTAGCAGTTGTTGTAATAGCATTGCCATGACATAATAACTTTCAAGAGGAATAATAATATTGTTTCTAGTGGTGGAAACTGGAAACCAAGAAAGAAGCCACTATGTACAAAGAAAATCTCATACACAAAGTAAATAAATATCAACACAAATTTTTAAACCATACCAATTGTATATTCGTTCTTCCGCGGCAAAGTCGAAAGATTTGGCTATATCAGGAGATGTAAAGACGCCATTCTCTCTCTGTGATGCAGCAACTGAAATTTTTTAAAATCAACAAAACATTAAGAACGCATTTGGTTTAAACAAGAGTGAATTTAACAAGAAAATGAATAACAAGAAGCACCAGCACCTAAAATTTCAGAAAAGAAAAAAACTCAGTTAAACAAATACTTCATTTTGATCCAAAAAGAGAGAGGAGAGGAGAAAAGAAAGCATCTAGAATAGTAGTCGGAATTGAACAATCCTTGGTGTTGAAAAGAGGAAGCGAAGAGAAGAGAACCTGAAAGAAGACGAGGTGTGAAGCGCCAACGAGAGTGTGGAACGCGACGACGGCGCGTGTAGAAGAGAAGAGGGTGGCGAGGAGAGAATGGACACAAGAGACGAGAAGAGGAATAAGAAGCAGAAAGAGAGAAGATGGTAGACATGGTGAACGATGATGCTATCACTCTGTGCTTTCACTTCACAGCACAACGCATTCGGCTAAGGGAAAAGAAAGAAAAGCCAGCGGCACTTGTGTGGAATGCAATGGGATGAGGAGGGAAAATGCCACGCTCCCCACAATAAATAAATTACAGAATATTTTATGTTAAGTTAATATTTAATTAATTGTTTTAGGAACCCGTTAAATTTGATAAATGATTTCATTTCGCATATTACGTATGGTTTGATTATTTATTAATTATTTAATAGAATTCATTTATTTATATATTCATGTGTATCTTTTAATTTGGATTACTTATATGGTTATATTTTTTTCATCTAGCTTTAAAATTTATAAGTATTAATTCTTATATTGAATGAGATAATTTTCTAAACGTATTATCATCTTCATTAGGTCATATAATCTTTTTATATTGAGAATTTTATTCTATTTTTGTTAATTTATTTAAAATTTGATTTAAAAATACTATTGCTTAAACTTAATTGAAAGTTTAATTTTAAGTCTTAATATACTATATCAAATTAAAAATTATACTTATAAACATATAAATTAAATTTTAATTTAATTTTTAAACATTTTAAATTTTACACTTCATGCTAATAAATATTACGTGTCATGATTTTGATAATTTTTTTCAGAATTCTTTCTTTAATTCTAAAAGTCTTATTTCTTTAATTTCATCCTATTTAATGTGATAAAATATTTAAAAGTATTAATAAAAATATATATCATTCTCTTTAGTAGATATAAAATATGGTTATTATCAAATTTTGAGAATGGAGGAAGATAGATATAAAACTGATTCTTTGCAGAAACTCCTCTCATATCTTTGTTTCTTCATCCTAAGCAGAGAAACATACATTTCAAGGGAATTTTTGTAGAAGGTTACATTTTTCAATTCCACTTTAACAGAGTTACAATCCTCTAAACATGAACTTGATCATTATGAATGGAATTGAAGGATCAAGTGATCAAAATGTTGGGCTTTGTTTGCACAGAGAAATGGACATCATGAAGGATCCAACAATGATGATTAAGAGGATGATTTTCTGGCAGCGAACCTAAAGAAGAGCAAAAGGAACAAGACCCTGGAGAGATGGTTCCCTCCTTACTTGTTTTTTAATGGCAAGTGGTTTTGTTGTTAATACTGGAACACATGACTAGGACATGCTTGATTCCTTACTTGTTTTTGTTGTAGAGGTTTGAAGATTGTGAATAAGAATCAGGAACTCAGCTAGTAAAAATCAACTATAAATTTGAATGTAACTTCATTATACTCACAGTGTAAAGACTTTTACACTTTCACACAATCTAATTACCCAATCATAAATTGTGAATATATCGAAATTAAATTATATAAATTTTATGTCCTGTACAAAAATATAATACTAGTACTTATAGCAAAAAATATATATAATACTAGTACTAGTTTAGTAGTTTGTGAAATACACATATATTTTATTTATAATAAATATAGATACAATTTAATAATTAAAAAATAAAATTTATGTTTTTTAAATAAGTATATATATATATATATATATATAAATAATACAATTTTTAAATATTAAATTTTTTGAAAAATTATTTTAAAATAACTCTATAACTATAAATAGTGTGTATTAAAACAATAAAAATTAAATAAAATTAAATGATTTTAAACATAATTTATTTTAAAATAATATTTTTATCATATAATGTCAAAAAAACATTTTGATTAAATGATGAGAATCAAGGAAGACCCATTGAAGACAAAGACTTGAAGGCATTGGAAGAGCTTCAAGGACCAATGACAAGGATAAGGGCAAAAAGAATAAATGAAGACTTAGAAAAGATTGTTACTGTCTTATTTGAAAGGGAGCTCAATTTAGAGTTAGAAAAGTTCAAGATAATCAATTACATATGCTTAGAAAATTTGAACTCTAACGAGTTTTATTAGGATTTAATTATTATGTTTAGTTTATTTATTTTAATATTAGTCATTACTTATTTTGAGTTTTTATTTAGGATAAAATCTTGTTATTTTATTTAGTCTATTTGAATTTAGGCTTGTTGGTACAAGAAGCCCATTAGGGTTTGCGTTAGTATTAGTTTACAAGTATTAGACATATATAAGCTCTTGTAAACACATTTTTAATTAGTTTTGAATATAATTTGAGATTGAACACTCTTGTGAGAGCGTGTGACTCTAGGTTCTTGAGTGAACCAATTTTCTTTGATCTTATCAAGAGGCCAAAACTCTTGTGGCGATCGTTTCTTGGCTTATCAATCTTGCGATTGTGGCGCCATTTTCCATCTCTATTCTATTTTTACTTCTTATTAATTTTCTTCTTATTTCAATTCTTATTTGTGCCGTAATAATTTCGTTTTTATTGTGTGAAATTCAATTCAAGATCGTTTAATTCGGCGACACGGTTTGTGGTTGTCATCATTAAATGTCAATAACCATAAATTAAAGAGATCAGACTCTTAAAAGTAAATTAAAAAATATTTTATAAATATAAAAAATAGATATTCACAGAAAATTAAAAAATTTATGTAAAGTAATAAGAAAAGGCTAAATAACAACTTAAAATCTCTAAAATTTAGAATGAAATTAAAAAATTGCAAAAAGAGAGAGTAATATTTACACATCATTCTTAGTCAATTTTAATCTTATTATCAAAATATACATAATGTATATTCAAATTAAGATGTGCTGGTATCTTGAATTCAAACTAATTATCAAATTAGTGATACTTTATTAATCATCTACCGTAAAAGATAAGTGAGCTACAAATGTTTAATTACTAGATAAAAGTTTTACCCAATGCTCAATTATCTAACAAACACCAACATCAGCATCATAATTTTTTATAAAAAAAAAAAAAGAAAAAAGGGCTTAACCATTTGAGCTCCTTGTTCATAGTTTGCTGCTCCATTATTTCAAGTGAATAAATTAGAAACTTTGCAATTTACTCGTGTGAACAAAGTCTTTGATTGAGTGACTATTGACTTGAAAATTTTTAAAATTTTTAATTATAAATTTTTTAATTTCTCAATTATAAAATCTCTCAAGTTAATGCATCAAAATTTTCAAGCAAAAAAAATATTCCAAAGAAGAAAAATGTTACTAGAAATATATCTAATATTGGGTGGAAACATAGAATAGATGTTGGTAGACAATGCTAGAAAAGTTAAATGCAATTATTATTTAAAAATAATTGGTGAAATATTTTTAAAATTTAAACATCACCTTGCTATAATTAAATAAGACACAACACCTTGTGCTACATTATCTAAAGAGGTTAAATCTTTATGATAAAAATTATTGCAGAGGCTAAAGATAAATAAACTAAAAACAAGAAAATTGTTGAACATTGAGATAGAAGATAATGAGACTCAATGTCAATATAGACAAGGGATGGAGATGGAAAGCTCTACCAAAAATGGAAGGGAGTATTTTACAATTTGTTACAAATGAGAAAGGTGATGGAATTTAAGCAATGTTAAATCAAATGATGAAGAATGACCTGAGGGTACAAGTTGATCAACAAGTTGCAGAATTTTTCTACACATGTCATTCCTTTCAATTGAATTAAGAATGTGCAGTTTGCAAAGATGTGTGAAATGATTGGAAAATATGGCATGAGTTATAAACTACCTTCCTATCACGAGATTAGAGAAAAACTCTTGAATGAAGCAATGAGCCAAATTGATGCAATGTTAAAAGAATGGAAGAAAAAATGGAAGAGAATTAATTGCTCAATTATGTTAGATGAATGAACCCACATGAAAAGATATTCAATTGGTAACTTTTTAGCAAATACCCCAAAGGAAAAATATTTTTCTATTCATTAGATACTTCTAACATTTCTAAAACAACCAAAAAAAGTTATCAAGATATTGGATGATGTTGTGGAATTTGAGCCAAACATACTCATCAATGTTGTATATTACAAAGCAGCTGGAGAAATGTTAATGGAGAAAAAAAATTTTATATTAGACTTAATGTACTATTTATTGTATTGATTTGATATTAGAAGATTTTGAAAAGAACATGAAGATCAATCAAGTAATTATTCAAAAAGTAAGAAAGATCACTTACCTACATTTATACAAAAATAATGTCTATTAGCATGTTTAAAAGATTGACTAAAATGAAGGACTTTATTGAGTCTTGTATGACACAATTTATCATTGCATATTTGACATTATCCTATCTTAATAATAACAAAGCAACATTGATGAGTATGTTTAGCTCAAACAATTGAAAAATAATCAAGTTTGCATCTTCTCAAGATGGAAGAAAAGTGATATGATTTTAGATAGTAGGTTGTAAAAGAATATAGTTATATATCTTAAGGTTGCTACTCCTCTTATATTGTCCTTCATTTAGTGAATTCATATGGAAAACCCCACCATGATTTTCATTTATGATGTAATGGATTTGGTCAAGAAAAAGATCAAAAGTAACTTTAAAGATGATAAGAAATGCTAAACATTTTTAATTTTTCTTCACTTAGCCTTTATTGATCTTTGTCTTTAATATGAAAATGTGCCTAACTGTCTTGTACAGCAGTTTTTACATTTATTTGAAGCTATGAACCTTTATGGAAAATTATCAATAATGGACACTGGGATAACTAGCTCCATAGGCCTCTCCATGCAACTGCATGTTACCTCAATTTTAATCTTCACTATGATTTTGAGTTTAGAGATAACAATTTTAAGGTTAAATAAGACTTGTATAATTGTTTAACTAGGATGTTAGATGACCCAATTATGAGGAATAAGATTCATAATCAACTTCTTGAATTTTATTATGCTCAAGTTTTTTTTTTTTTTTTTTTTATCTTGATAATGCAAAGTTGAATAAAAAGATTATGTTTCATGGACTATGGCGAGATTTCTATGAGGATGGATGTCCAACACTAAAATGGTTTGCAATATGTGTTATTAGTTTGACTTGTAGCTCTTCTAAGTTAAAACATATTTGAAATTCATTTGAAATTGTAAATAAAGTTGAGTTTTTTTATATATATATAATTTCCATCTTTTCTTTATTTAAAATATTGATTAATAAGTTGATTTTGGACATTGGAATATTATTTTTAGGTTCATACAAATAGGATAAATCAATTATATTAAAAAATGAATGATCTGACTTATGTAATGTACAACACAAAGTTAAGAACTTAACAAATAAATAGAAATTTATCTTTCCCATTAATGATATTCAATCTGACAATGAATGGATAACTGACAAGGTGCAAGTATAAGACATTGTTAAACTTGACAACAATCTTTAATAGATGAAGGTAACAATGTTGAAGAAATTAAAAATTCAAGAAATCCAACTTTAGATAGCATAGAAGACTTGGTTCTTAATCCTAATATTGAAAAACCTCTTTCATAATAGGGAGAAGAAAATTATAATGATGGTGATAATGAGTGATGAAGTTAATGATGATGAAAATGTTGAAGGGTTGAAGATTTGAAGAGCATGACTTATTTACTCCTTTTGTTTGAAGTTTTTAGTAATTCACCTTATGAATTTGTGTATTATGACCTTAAGATTTGAACATTGGGTCCTATATGTGTGATTTTAACTTGTTTTATGACTTTGAGATTGTATGATTTGATTATTTAAATGTATTTTTAACTTTGTTATTTTATTTTTCTTAATTATTTAAATTTTTTTAATATTTATTTACATGAGGTAAACTATTACGATCCTAAGAATCAAGTTTACAAATACTCTACAAGTTTACTTAGGTTTTGTTTAGAAATTTAGAGGAAAATGGAAAAAAAGGATTTAAGGATTTAGGAGAAGAGGGAAAGGAAAATAAAACAACTCTCTTGTTTTATCTTTCTATTATAAAAAACTCTTTAAAAAAAGTTTTGTCCCTCTAAATGAAACTCTTTAAAAAATTAAAAAATTAAGGTGCAAAACTAATAATAACGTAACAAAAAAAATCCAAAAAAATTGTTTAAAAAAATATTATTTTAATAATTTATTTTAAAAAAATGTTAAAAAATAAATAAGCCTGATGTATGAGGGAGTTCTCTTATAAAATTCTCTTTGAAAATTGAATAAGAATTTGCACTTGTTTGAAGTTTTCAAAATTTTGTAAATTTTATTTAAAACTCTTTTATTATCATTTCTTTTCTTAAAGCTTCCTTATTTCATTCTTACTATCACGGCATTCTTAATTCTCTCAAGCCTTTGTTTTATTGTGTTCTTGATAATTCAATCCAGTTCTTGGTTTAGTACGAGAGCCTAGGTTGCTGGAAAGACATAGATTCTAGGTCTTAATTTGTCTTGTTTATAGTATAAATTGTAGCACTAAAAAGTACTTAGACATTAGTTAGCTCTTTGATCTTGTACTCTCGGTATCTAAAGTAATATAGTAGATTCATTGGTGAGTTAGGTTAATAATAAAGGAGATGATGGTGCCACAAGTAATTTTTCACGATTAGTTTTTAATACAAAAATCAAACTAAATTATTTTAGAACGATTGATGCTAAATTTAAAAACTAATATCAAATTTTAAATTATATCTACATTTTATAACAGGTTCCATGGGACTAGTAATTCATTCATCCATTCTGTCATCCAAAGGAGAATAATGAGGAAGATAATTGAGCTTTAATTCAAACTATATACAACAATTATATTCTAATGTTGATCTTACTATTCTAAAATGAAAGGTGTACTTTAAAAGAAAAGATACGGAGTTATAATAATCTGTCAAAAAATTAAGAAAATTAATTTTTATAATTTAATTATTTTGTATATATATTTTACCATAATTTCAACTTTTAATCTTTTAATCCATTATTATAACTCCGCAATTTTCCTTATAAAATACATCTTTCGTAGGTGGTATACAAAGTGGCACTATTTTCTATGCACAAAAGCTTCACATATATGGTGATATTTTGTCGTGTTTGGTAAGTTTTGGAGATCAAGCAAGACAGCTTGTGGAGGCGTGATGGGTATAATCCACTTGAATTGCTGGCACATAAACTGCATCTTTCAGAGTGCTATGGTTTCGGCCATAAAACACATAAACAATAACTCCTATTGCCAGCCATATAGAAACACGCGCCCAAGTAGCAGCCCTGGAAGAATTAACACACAAAAATTAGGTGAGGTTGTGCAATTCAACAAATAATCGTTCTTAGAGCAATGTTAGAAGGTTATATATAATACATAGATCATAGCTTATATATAGTTCAGATTAAGTATATCATTAGGTAACCAATAAACATCCATTTTGGTCCTAGAAAGGTTTGGTTTACACTAATTTGGTCCCTGGATTACAAGTAAAATCTATTTAATTATTCAATTATGAGAAGTGATGTCAAAATGATCCTTCTATGTACAAACTTGCGTTTGAAGAACTAAATTGATGTCATTTTATATTATTGGCAGACTAAACTAATGTCAACTTAAAATGATTGAGGGATTGAATTGATTTTTTTTTTCACTGTTGGAAAGCTAAATTGATGTACTTTGTCTTGTAGGGACCAAATTAATGTCAACTTAATCTTTTTTTTAAATATTAATGTCAATATAATCTTTTACGATTAACTAATAGTTTGCTTTTAAAATATTTGAAGGGAAAACTCTGTACTTGAATGTAAAATACTTACCCAAGAGTAATAAGTAAATAGGAATTGATGAGAATGCAAGCTATGGGCAGAAGAGGCACAAATGGGCAAGTGAAACCTGAAAATGGATCAATTAAGGGTTACCTTTCACAATGAATTGTTTGTTAGGAAATTCCAATCCTCCAAATTTACTTGATCCAGTCATATTCTATACACACACCCTTCCCCCTACCCAACAAAAAAAAAAAAACGAGTAGAAATGTAGAATGATTAAATAGATTTATGCCCAAATAGAGATTTCAGTAGAATTTGTTGGGAGCTTATTTTTAACATCAGCTCATTATAAGAATTTACGAATAATATTTTTTTATTAAAAACCACTTGAGTACATATTAAAAAAAAATCTTGATTTATACATTAATTTCTTATTGTATATCCTTGAGTACATATTAAAAAAAAATGATTTCATCATATATTTTTCTTGCATAGAAACACATGTTCTTACATTCAATATCTGATGCTAAAAGACACTCAGTCAGACAGGTCGAACAAGTTTTGTTGCCACAAGATGATAATTTTAATCCTTACCTCCAGAGTGCCCAAAGTTGTGCCTTGCATCATCTTGATTTATACAGGTTAGGAAGACAAAACCAGACAGAAGAAGTGTGCCACCAACTCCACATAATGCAAAGCGGACAGAACTGGTATTGCCAAAAACATAAAGTGCTTGAAAAGTAAGAACATAAAATAAAAATTAAGTGGCATGAGAACCATTAATGAAGTGCATAAATTTAATGCAGCACTGCCCTCTTAAAAGCAAAACCTTCCCTTTCATTTGAGACAAGACCAAACATACAGCACCCTTCTATCAATGTATGTGCAACTTCAAAAACAAGATATATGTGACTAAACCAACCTTAGAATAGTTGTATCTGATGCTGTAAATGTGAGGATAAACACCCCTATACATGTGAATGCTATTACCCATCCAGTAACTTTTCGCCTATTGCCCTCATGTACATCTGCACCATAAACAAATACAAGCAAGGAGAAAAATAGCAGATGTCAAATGACATAACAAAAAGAAATTATAATAGCAGCCTATTGGTGTAAGATACTTAGAAGCACTGATTTAATGATTTCATATATTAAGCAATACGTTGATGTTATGTATGATAGAGATATTGGTAAACAGAAAAGGAAAAGCATAACTCACATTTGCTTATGGCAGGAACTTTAGCAATAAGGGGATAATCAATTGATACATCCTCATCAACAACTAAAGATTTCCGGTTCGTAGAAGTACTAGCATTTGCCCCTCTATCTTTTGCATTTGTCTCCAAACTGCTCCAAACTGAATCAATTGGTTCCTGAAGAGAAGGGGGCAATGGAACCTCATCTGGTGGGATATATCTTAGTATTAACACAGATATTGCCACCATGGTGAATGCAAGAAGTGTACCCACACTAACCTGCAGGAGCCACGATAAATATATATTAGTACTATACATACAAGTCAGTAACATCTTTCTATATTTGACAATTAAAGGTGCTACCAGGCAAGTCTATGCAAGAAATCAGAAATGATTAAAGAATTTCAAAAGAAACAAATCACTTGGATTTCCACTCATAAAGACAAGAGCTTCATCAGATGGGTTTCATTCTTCTACTTAAATTTGTGTTTGGTATCAAGACAATCATCCCTCCAGCCTCCCTGCCCATATATATATATATATATATATATATACAGCTCTCACTTGATACAACCCTTATTATATTCATACACACACATTTTTTTTACACTTGTAATTGTAATTGAAGAATCATGGCTTTATGGTCTTGGCATGACCCATGCTACAACAGGTCAACAGGTATGTTGTGTGGCATATGATGATCTTAGCAAAATATGTCCATTAGATGTGGTTCTTTTTAAGTGAAGAGACCTGTAAAATGAGAAAGTAAGAGTCTACTATGATTGATTTGAATTATTATATTTTATAATATGATTATTTGGCTAAAGTAGTACTATGTACCAAATATAGTTAACTACTGTTAGAAAAATAAACCTGACTGACTCCCAAAAACTAATTTATAAGAGAATTGTCCAAGCCTTATATGGTGTATTTTGGCCATATTCCTAGCCAACATGGCACATCTGAAAATTTTCTATAAATAACAAATGGACAGCCTAAGTGCCTAACAAGAATGAACTTAATGCATCCCAATATATCTGAATCCCAGTTTCCCCAATCCCTCTTTCTCTCACATACTATTCATATGCATGCTCTCTCGATTTCTATTGCTTTCTATAAAAGTTATGAGAGTATCTTTGAACCAGTGACCGAGTTCAATTCTTGCCACCTCCATATTTTGCAGTTAGACATTAAATTTCAGCACAAGGTAAAACAAACTTACACATTGTACATGGTATAAGTTCAAAGGAATCTTGCATGATAGGATTATGAATAAAAGTAATTCCTTAACCACATTCAAGCTCATAATCCTAGCAAAAAACACAATTAGGGGATCCTGATTGTTATAAAAGTAGACTTACCATCCCAGCCAGTTCAGAGACTTCCATAGAAAATGCCAAGGCTGCAGCAACAAGGCCAGTAACTATTGTGCTCTTAACAGGAACCTGGCTGTGCTTGTTTATGTCAGAAAAAAATGGTGGCAACAACCCATCCCTTGCCATAGCCATCAAAATTCTTGGCTGAGAGACATTAAACAGAACAACTTGATAATTTTACCTTGAAAATATAAACTTCAAATAAAAAGGAAAGAAAAAAAATGTGATAAAATTTTTAACAAGTAATCGTAGAATAAATCAGCAAAAGAAATAGGGCACATATTTGGAACTTATGATCTTAATTAAATTCAGTATATCACATCTAGCTTTTCTAGTACATAAATTTTTAAGCATAGGCAAATGTTAATATCAAGTTAATGGAGGGAGTTTTGCAGGTACCAAAAAAAAAAAAAAAAAACTCAACTTTTTAAATTATTTTTTTTTCCTATTATATTCTTGATCACAAATTTTGTGTACTTTTTTTTTCATTTTTTATCTCTTTTTCTTTACACTCATCTCGCTATGAAAATATTATTATTCAATAAAAAAGAGAAAAATACAGAAGATGCTAATTAAAGTTAAATGATTGTTTAGGAAGAGAAGTTTTAAAGAAGAGAAAGAAGGACAAAATTTATATTTTAAATAAATATATTTAAAATTAATATTTTTTAAAATAAAAAATATTAGTTAATATATTAATATAAACTTAATATATTTATTATTATAAATAATATATAAATTTTTTAATTTAAAATTTAAAAATATACCCTTTCCTCCAAAAACCCCCACCGAAGCATACCCTAAGGAATGAAGGAAAAAATAAGAGTGATACAAGGGGTGCCCCACAACTTAGCTATCAAACGAACAAAGCAAGTTCCTGGCATCTACATCATATCATGTCATAATCCCAGACAAAACCCACAAGCCTTACACCACCAAACTCTTCCCAAAATCCACACCTTGCCTTGAACACGTCACGCGGAGCAACCACCTCTATTTTCTGATAATTAGATTTTAAAAACTACAACTTATTTTTTCATATAAGAATATCCTAATTGGCATCACTTTTTCTTCATATGACAGATTTTATTTTTAAAAGTTTTAAATTTTAATTTCTCCTAATCAAATAAATCTGACACAAAACCCTCCTGACTTTTTAGTTTTTGCTATGGTTAACTTAAACTCAAAACAAGAAGGTCCATTTTCACACCAGTTTTTTTAACGTGTTCAAAAAACATATAATAAAAATCTATATTAATATTTTAAAAATTATATAATATATTAATAATATTAAATATTATTTTTAATAAAATTTATTATTTATTGTTTTTTATTATATAATTTAAGCATACGTTAAAAAATCCGTTCGCGCGCGTAATAATATGGTAAAAGTAACAGAAATAGCAAAACAGCCACTTGGGGAAGAATAAACTATAAGAAATAATTTAAGAATTTAATTTAATGCATAAACAGAGACACTGAGATTCTAATGAATTAATTTACCTGGGGCAATATCCCACCCATCAATGATGCGCATAGAGCTGTAAAAGCTCCAGCATTTACAACGTATCTGCAATCACAATTACCCTTTTAATTTAGTAGAAAATAACTTAGAAAATCAGTTTGAACACCAAATCAATGCGTTTGTTTAAATTTTAAGCTTTTTATCAAATAAAATTATTTTTAAGTGTATTCACTCTTTAAAGTGACTCTTTTTCCTATTTATATAAAATTAACTTTTTAAAGTTGTTCTTAAAAAAAAAATCATTATTGAAATAAATTTTATCAAAATCTAAAAGAAGTATGATTCTTTGTGCAGCTACTTGAGTGTTTCTTTGATTTAAAATAAAGTTAAAAAATAATTGAACTATTAGATGTGATTGAAATATATGTCTAAATTAATCTGAAATTTTTTTCGTAAAGATTAATTTTCGAACTTTAAAACATATTGACCCTAAACATTATGATAAAAATCAGAGGCAAAGTAGAATTTCAAACTTGTACACTTACCCTGCCCATTGCATCCCATTGTCAGCAAATGCAGATGATATGGGGGTGTCAGGGTTGATTGCATAGTAAGGCACTAAACCCACAATAACAATGGAGATAATCATGTACAATCCACAACATAGAAACAATGAGCCACCAATACCCAATGGCAAATCTCGTTGAGGATTTTTCACCTGTTGATCAAAGTAAAACATTATTAATAAGTTTGAACATCATCTTATGTATCCAGCATAGGAAATGACACATATAATGCATGAAGAACAAGCTACGTAACATCATATTTTATACCTCTTCAGCAGTGCTGGCAACTGCATCAAAACCTATGTATGCAAAAAACACTGTTGCAGAACCAGCTAGCATCCCATCTACCCCAAAGGGAAAATACCTATTAAACCAAGAGACAAGTATTCAGTGACTAGAAGAGACCAAAAATTGAAGGGGAAGTGCAAAACAATGATGTAATGTACCCTGTGGGAAGGGCATATCCAACCCATCCAGATTTGAATCCCAAGTAACCACCAGCTACCATGACAAAAAGCAAAGCACATATGTTCACTGAGGTGACTACACCTTGTACCATTGTACTCTGCATATATCAAGTATTAGCTAAAATTAGTTATTGGAACACATATTTTTTTTTTTTTGTATTTTTAATTTCAGCTCTTAATGCTGGCCGAGTTTAATCATTCATAGATAAAAAAATTTTATAAAAAATATACAGTTATTGTATTAAAATTATAAAAATATAATAAATATTTTTTAATAAAATTTTACTATTATTAATTACTTTATAATATGCATATACCAAGTATTAACTAAAATTAATTGTTTTTTTTATAGATTTTATTAATCAAGGGGTGGACTGAGTTTAAACATCCACATATAAAAAAAATTATAAAAAAAATATATAATTATTATATTGAAGTTATAAAAATATAATAAATATTTTTTTTAATAAAATTTTACAATTAAAATTATAAAAATACAATAAATATTTTTTTAATAAAATTTTACTATTAAAATTATATTAGCTATTTATTTTCAGTCCTTGCTGAAGTTAACAAAACTTTTTTTTATTATTTAAATAGATTCAAGATGATAGAATCAAAGATCACATACCATTTAAAAGGGATATATATAATATAATATAATATGTTAGACAAAGATTCTAATGAAAACCTACCTCTTTGATCCCAGCACATAGAAGTCCAGTAACAACAAAAACCAGAATTGCTGCACATGGGTCAACAACAATGTTAATCCCAGGAATGCGCTGATACGATAAAAAGCTGGGCAAATTTTCCACTCCCCCAATAAGTGCAGCCTAATAAGAGAAATATCCACTTGATATCAACAACATGATTTTTATTTGCAGATTTGCAAAAATAAATCTGCTAGAGTCATTATAACAATACTAAGAAAACATCCATCAGAATTCTGAGCTTCAGAAAAAAACATATAATACACAAAATAGCATATAAGAAAAATTTAAAAATAAAAATATAAAAGATAAATAATCATCCTTTAACTATTAATTAAATCTACCTAAGGGTCAAAACAGGATGATATAATCAACACCCTCTAAGACAAACAAAACCAAATAAAGAGCTAAAGTAAGACCATACCAAATTGGGGGTTATGCCACGAGCAACAGCAGCTCCACCTATTGTATATTCCAGTATCAATGCCCAGCCAATCAACCAAGCAACACTGCAAAGCAAAGAAATCAGTTTTTCGTAAACGATCACGTAAATTAAATCGATATAAAACCTCCAACTTCACACAAGCACTCCAATCTTTTCAAATATGCAACGTACAAGCCTCCAAGGATAAATAATTTTGAGGCACATAAGAAAAAGAAAACCAGTAATCTAAAGAAGGTGAGTGAGTATGAGTACCCTTCCCCAACACATATGTATGAATAGTGATAAGCACTTCCAGCAGAAGGACAACGACTAGCCAACTCAGCATAACAAAGAGCAGAAAGTGCAGCTGCAAATCCAGCCACAAGAAACGAAATTGGCAAAGCCGGTCCAGAATGTTCCCTTGCCACCGTTCCAACCAGAACATAAACACCAGCACCAATTGTTGCACCGACACCTGAGTTAAAACATCCCATAAAAAAAATGAAAAAACAAATAATAACTGAAGAAACAAAATGAAGCAGACAAATTCAATTTATCGGGTCACATCTTCTTCTTTTTCACTTTTTGACTCAAAAACTGAAGGAATTCAAACAAGAAAAAAGTAACGTTACGCCTCCAACTCCTGGAATTATGAAAACAGAAACTGTGAAACTAAAACATGAACAGATCCACGTCATCCATACCCAGATGAAAAGCGTGACTGAAAAATGAACTAAATCACCCAGAAAAAAGGAGAAAGAAAAGAGAAGAACTTGAACTACCAATTGCCATGAGATGAGGAACAGTTAACTCCTTGGCAAGTTGGCCTTGAGAATTGTTCATAATGACAGAATCCACCTTCTTCCTCCTAGTTAGGAACCTCCATGCACAGAGTCCTCCATTTTTACCATCATCTTCTGAATCAACCCAAATCCCCATCACAACTTTTTTCTCTTCTTTTTTGGGCTCAACAAGGTACCCAATATATCTGGGAAATAATAATTAGTGCCAAAGAAAGCTTCTTTCCAATTAATTAATTAATTAATGTGGGATATAATAAAAATCTGCTTCAAAGTTCAAACTAAACTGAACAGTATAGTTATGCAGATTGAGAGAGAGAGAGAGAGAAGCAGGGATAGAAAGGAAAGAAGCAATTCTATTATTCACCCTTTCTCCTTGGCTGTGGTGCCATGGGTGAAGAGTGGGTTGCTTTTATGGGAAGAGAGAATTGGGGCCCCTGTTCTGGAGCTATTCTACCTTAAGGTGGAAAGATGATTTTTCCTTTTCTATGCAACGTTCTGTTCTCTGATTTGTTTTAGGACATGATTGGAGTTATGGCAGTCGTCAGTGGTTGCTCAGGTTTTCTTGTTCCATATGTTGTTTGTTTATTTGAAGTTAGTAAAATTAATTTTGATCTCAAATCAAATGTCCGTTTTACTAAAAACAAAAATTGCCAGTTACACATTCTTCACAAAATATCTCTTTTATTAAACAATAACAATTTAATAATAAAATGATATTTATTATTTTTTCATAACTTTAATATAATAAATATATTTTTAATAAAAATATATTACTTTTAAAAATTTAAGTACAACCTTAAAAATTAGAGTTAATAAATCTAAAATAGTCAACCACTTATATAATAAATTGATAATTTTTTAAAATTATTTTAACTTTTTAAACTAACAAATTATAAATTATATGTTAAAAAATAAATTTTAATATTAATATTAATTTTTAAAATTAAATTTAATTAATTAATGATAATAAATTTTCATTAAAATATATTTTTATACGTTATATTTTAAATATAATAAATATATTTTTAATAAAAAATATTATTTTTATATACTTAAACTCATCCTAAAAGATAAAACTAACAAAACTTTTGATTAAAAGTGAATAAAATATTTTTTATTAAGTTAACAATTTCATGTTATGTTTCAACGTGAATTTACATAAAATAATTAATTTTTTATCTTACTTTTCAATTAAAATAAATTGTGTATAATAAATATTTTGAAAATTAAGTTTACTGTGGACGACTTTCACTTTGTTCCCGCATGCCACAATCCTCGTTAATTATTGCATTGTTAATGATTGCAAATCCCTAATTCTCCAAAATCAACGTCACGTTTGTACGGCGATTGTTAGTTAGTTTTTTGTTTTCTTAATAATTTATAATAAATGAAATTTACTTTCAGAATATATTTTTTTCATTCACCATACGAATTTAGAAAATGAAATATATTTTAAAATATACTCTATTTTATATAAAATTTTAAATTTATTTTTGTAATGTATATTTAAGCAAAAAATTGTCAATATTAATTCTTTCAAAATTAATTTAATTAAAAAAATAAATGAAACATTTCAATCAACCGATATTAAGAAGGGTATACGTTAGCTTAAATTATATGCACGAACATGTTTTTTAAAAAATCATATCCACAGACAGCCAGTGAGAAATATTGATTAAAAATTTTCAAAAATATAATCTCAAGCTTTAAGATTTAAGATGAATAATTAAAGTGGTATTTTTATTGAAAATTATTTATTATTTTTAAAATATAAATATATACAAAATATTATTATTTAATTAAAATTTATTGTTTATAAGTACTTAAACATAATTTTAAGTAGAAGTGAAAATAAATTGATTTATTATTTAAGTGAAGTTAAATGCTTTAAGTTTATTTATTGAATTAAACAAGCAAACTGAAGCTTAAAGTTAAAATAACTTATTTAAATAAGTTAATTTTAAAATTTACAAATTTGATATTAATAACTCTCTCTCTCTCTCTCTCTCTCTCTCTCTCTCACACACACACACATATATATATATATAAATTATAATTTCATTTATTATATTTATTTAAAATTTATTTATTTATTATTATTGTGTTTGTATTATTATCTAAATTTTAAATTTATATTTTAAAAAAATTATCATAATTTATTAAAATATAATATAATATTTTTATTAATATATTTTTTATTTTAATTTTAAATCATCTTTATGTAAATAAAATTATATTTTATAATCATTTGATTTGCTTAATAGCATAAATTTTTATTAAATTTTAAATTATTAAAAGAATTATTCAACACTTATTTAAAAATAAATTAGAAATAAATTAATAAATTATATTTAAACTTCAAAATTTTAATGAAGTTAAATTTTATTGTTAAATGTTAACGAAAGTATAACTTTCTTTCTAGAAAGACAGGAGAGATTAGTTAAAATAATTTAGTAAAATTTTATATCAAACAGTTTTATCAAAATTATATATATATATATATATATATAATTAAATTAGAAGTAAAATTTGTGATATTTTCATCATTCTATTATATAATATTACTTAAATCTTTTTATAATTGTAAAAATAAAAAATAAAAATAAAGTGAATTACCCAATTAATCAAAAATACAAATTTGTCTTTTTTATTTTTATTAAATATTCCTATAATTTAGACATAATTGACAGATTATTTAAATCTATATGATTGACAAAATTAATAATAAAATCCGAAAGCTGAAATATCAAAATTAATATTATTTACCAACCAAAAATCTATATAATTTTTTATTTTTGTCAGTTATTTTTTCTTTTAAGAAATGCAATAATTTTGTGTGCTTAATTATTATGTCTTTTATGGATAACCAATTAGTAGCATGGATAGAATAAAGTATTCGAAATTAATTATATAAAAATATTATTAGGAAAAAAACAAAACTAAGGACACACTGATCCAAGGCACTCCCCCACAAGGATGAAGTTCAAAGTGAAGCCAAAAGGGGTTAAAACACAAAGAGAAGAAGCAAGCAAAAACAAATAAAAGGAATGTATAAAGTAAATGGTGATCATTTGGAGGTGCTATTAATTTTTAATATATAAAGTAAGGAGTGAGAAATTTTGTTGGGGGAGCCTCTCCCTCCCAACGTTGATTTTGGCTATAATACTACTTATACCTTATATTGATTAATATAGATTGAAAATGTCGATTAGAATTTTTAAAATAAATAATTATATATTCATTTATTGATATATTTTTAAATTTAAAAATTAAAGTATTTAAAATTTTTCATTTATAAAAAATTATTTATTAAAAAAAAGATCTTGTACTAATGAAACCTTCGTATTTTTATTTTTCTTAAAACAACAATTGATCTACATCTATTCTTGCACAACTAGATATTTTGGTATCTATTTTCATATCATATAATTATTTAAATAGCCACATCCAATTTCATTACTCTTATTTTTGTTAAAAAAAATTAATTCAAATTCTATTTATAAATAAGAACGTATTAGATGTTCATCTAAATGATGTTTTTTTAATAATAAATTTTAATAATCACTTTACAAAATATTGTAACTCACGAATAAAAGTTTTAGATAATAATAATAATAATAAGATATAATTAATTTATCTATTAAATATAACGCTAAATATGATAATGTTAAATGAAAGAAGAAAACTAGCTAAAGTGATAAAGTTGTACGACTAAAACTTAAATCTAACAATTAGCTTATCACTTTATAATTTATAGTTGGCTATTTGGGAAGTAAGAATATGGTTATTAACTATTCTTTTAGAGATAAATAGAAAATTCAAACTTATAGATGATAAGATGACAAATTTACAATTGATCCTTATTTTTTAGGGATAAGAGGTTTTAGAACTCTTTAAAAACCTAAACTTGTTTTGAGGCTCATTACAATATGTTTATTCATCCATTCTAAAAGTCTAAACACACTTAAAATATTTAGAGTTAACATGAATTTAACTTTAAATCTTAGTTATTGAATTTGCAGATTACTCAACAGTTAGATTCTAACTATATTTCTCACTAGAATAACATTTATGATAGCACAATAATAGACATGCATATTGCACATGCAACTAACATACTCGAAACAACTTCAATTATTGATAAAGAAAGTTAGTTTCAGATAGTTACTTGGCGTCAAATGCTGCCAACTAAGCAACTCAACACTTTATGCATGTAGAGTAGTAGGTTAAGAACTTTGGTAGCAATTTTTTAGACCAAATAACTAATTTGCATATGTTATATAAGCTAAATTTGTACATATTGTAAAATATCCAAAATAATTAATCAATCAATTAAACTATAACTTATATTTACTTTTACTTTTTATTTATTTTATTGTATTTTATTTTCATTTACAATCATTCCCTTTACAATTTCAGCCTTTATATTTATTTAAAATATTCTTTATGTTTATTTACACCATTTTTTACCTTAATATTCTTTAATTTATTATAATTTTTACTTTTAATTGCACTTTACCAAAAACTTTCTTAAATATCTTGAGAATCCATCGCTGAAGGACAAATTATCTCTTTTAAGGAAATTATTTGATAATTTTGAAATAAATCATTTATGTTAGTATCAACTAATAGATTAGAATATATAATTTTTTTTAGCATGTTTATATAACTTAAACTTAGTTGAACAAGTAATAATTTTTTACCATGAATAATAATAATAATAGTAATAGTAATAGTAATAATAATAATAATAAATAAATATTTTTTATTTTATTATCAAAAGATTAAATGTTTAAAAATAAAATTTGAGTTGCGACTGTAAATTTGTAAAAATGTAAGTGTAATATTAGTTATATTATATTAAAATAAATATATTAAATAATTTTAAGTATGGATTGGGCTCAGTAGTTAAGCACTCTTACAGTTATTTTCATAAAATTTTACGTGCGAGAAAATACCTATACCTCAATTTTAACTCATTTAATGGGTACTTTTTCTCCATCTCATGTCACGACTATTTTTGTAATACCCACTATGTTTGACTCCAACTGTTATCTTGTGCTGACGTACGCAGTTCCCAGTTATACGGTAGCGATTCACTTGACTTTATTTGATTACGCAAAACTTTTAAAATTATAAACTAGTTTATATATACTGACAAATGACATTAACATGTCATTTGCATGGATAGTAGTGGTAAATATTTTACATGTACGTATATTTTTTTATTTAAGTAAAATTTTAAAATCTGAATTTTTAAACTATTTAGAATTATAAAGAAAAAATAGACAATCAATGCAAATGAATATATAAAAAATAAAGTTAGCTTAGATTTAAATTACAAGAATAAATTTAAAAAATTATATGGAAGTACAAGTAATTGAGCTTTGAGATGAAAAAAATTATATAAAAGTAGAAGGGTGGTTGAGAAAATTGGTGCCCATGCTTGTGGTTGGGTCCCTTATGGCTGAAGCTCATGTCCTTTCTATTCTTATGCAAAGATTTTGTCGAATATGTTAGGAAGGTAGGTGACAGTGACACTGAACAGCCCTCAAACTCATACTCACTTTTCAGATAACATACTTTTC